AAACCCAAACCCAACCCCAAACCCAACCCCAAACCAAGGGGAAAATGAAAAACTTAAAGAGAAATGTATAAAAATAAAAGGGGCCACCGTTTTTGATGTAAAATCTTGATATTTTTAAAGATTATGGTAGGTATCAAAAATCTTGGTATTTTAAAAGATTATGGTAGGTATAAAAATCTTGCTATTTTAAAAGATTATGGTAAATCTTGGTATTTTAAAAGATTATGGTAAGTATTAGGTAACGAAAATTTTTTTTCTCCCTTTGTAAAAATTGTTTTTTTTTTTCAAATTTTTTATTTTTTAAACATTTTTTTTTCTCGTGTGTAGAGAATTCATCATAATGTGACTGTTGAATTAAACCTACTAGTAATCAAACCCATTTTCGCAAAAAATGAAGTTTTTTCTTATCTCTTCTTTTTATTTTTGGATTTAAATATTCTTATAATGATTCCATTCCTTTCTGAAAATAAGAGTTTTCAACCAATGCTTTGAAAAGAATATATGTTAAAGAGAAGCAAGAGAACTTTAGCATTAATATTAAAATAGGTTTATTTATATGGATATCATAATTTATCATTGTTACTATTAGATAACATCTCTTATGACTTTTGAAAAATTCTCCTTTTATTCAGATTCTTTAGCCATATCCTCGAAGTTCAAACCATTTTTACCAGTTTGCATTTTTGTTAATACTTCATTTTTCTAAACATTAGGTTGATTTTATTCTAATTATTGATTCATGATAATTAAAAAGTTATTTTAAATATTAAAATTATTTAAATTTGCTTTTGCTTAAGAGCTTCAATTTTAAACATAAAAAGAATTTCTATTAAAAAAAATTTTTCTAGAAAATTTAAAAACTTAAACTTCTCTTATTTTTGAAATAAATTTGAATTTCATACAGTATGCTTTATGACCACCTTTAATAATAATGAATTGAAGCTACGAATTTATTTAAAATAGATTTCAATTAACTAAGTATTAGAAAATCATAATTGTTAATTTGAGCAATCTATAGTAGGTAACATTTGAATTTAATTTAATCACTTTAATTTGGTTGACTGATGCCTCTTTGAGGGTTTTGCTGATAGAAACATGAAGCTGAACTTGCTTTAGAAAAAAATTTATTTTTTAAAATTCCCCTGACTTTATTTCTTTAAACTATAGATTAATTATTTTTGTATTTAATAAATAAGAATAATATCAACTTCCTTTACAGAAATAGAATTTGTCTTCTATTACACGCGGCCTAAAATGAAATTATTATATATTTTTAAAAATAGGTAGTATTTATTCATCTAGTAAATTTAGTATTTCCAAACAATTGCATTATTTTATTACAATAAAAATGAAATTAAAATAAATAAATCATTATAGAGAAATCAAAATATATAGTAAAAATAAAGGAATATAAAATGAGGTATTTCGTATGTATGTGATTGAATTAGTTCAAATAATTTGAAGTAGTGAGATTCTTTTCTATTATATTTTATTATTATCCGTATATTAGAGGAGATGGAAAATATTTGTAAAATAAATAATATTCTTGTTTTTATATCTTTTTTTGGAGTTTAAATTAATCACATCCCGCAACAATTTAGGAATTAAATTTTCAATATAAATTGTTTATATCTAATATTATAACTTTAAGAGGTATTAAATAGTCTAATCAATTATTTAAGATTATTTTTAAACTAGAATAAGATGAAGGATCATTTATTTTAAGGGAATAAAATCTGTTATACATAAATGCTGTTAAATTAATTATGAATATTTTCTGTTAAATTTACATCTCATTCATTCTCTTTTTATTTTATATTGTTGATTCAGCAAGTAATACTTACTAATCTATGACACATAATCTAGATTGTTTTAGAAAATCAATCTTGTGTTATATATACTTATAATAATTGGATATCTCTTTTATAATTAAATTGAGGTACTTGAACTTAGAATGATTTCTAATACTTTACCTTTGTGCTTCTTATTAATTTAAATTTTTTTCATTTCAATTAAAACCCCAAAAAACACAATTCATCAAATTTTTATTCTAAATAAAATTCTTAAGGCATCTCATTTTATGAAGTTTTTAAAAGATATAATAGTTCACTTAAATGATAAAAATTTTGAAAAGTGCCAAGTTTTCTTCAGCACATTAGAAATTAATTTTAGAAATTTTTTTTTATAAGCTCAACAATATTATCAAATATTTACATGTTTATTTAAAACTTAAATTGATATCTAAAGTAACTGAATGGTATGTGAACGTAAAGTTCCTACTACTTTCTGCTGGTAAGCCTCTTATTGCAATAATAGGAATATTTGCATTATTTGTTAATTCTTAAAGATGTGAAAAAACTATTTGAGCTGAATAAGGACTTGACGATCTATTAACAAAAGGACCTGAAAATTAACTTTAAGATGAAATAGGACTTGACCATAATGATTGATCAGTAACCAAAAGAACATTGAACTTTATGTAATCAACCCTAGCAACCTTAATTGTTGTTTATGTTATCTCTTCAATCTAAAATTCTAATTATTAAAAATTTTACTTTAAACTCAACGTCGGATTATTCAAATTATATCTAACTCCTAATAATGATACAATTCTATTGATGGGAGTAGGTTGAAATTCTATTCTTCTATCACCTCAACCAGATTTTAGCTGTTAAAGTTCAGAAGATTCAAATGTGATTATTTTTCCTCTTTGGTCACTGAATAAGAACCATTTAAACCATACCGAAGAAAGCGAGGTTATGGATGCTGCTATTCCTTTCAATTTGAATCCTAAAGACTTATAATTCAATAATTTACCATTAGTGTTTACATAAGTAACCTATACAATAAAACTTTATGGCAATTCAAAACTAAAACTTCAATCTAAACTTATCATTTTCTCTCTCATCTTTAAGCATTATATATGTTACTCTTTATGTTTAGGTTTCTTATTTTTTGAATCAGCTCTGACCACACAATACAAATGGGATATTGTTATTTTTAAATATTTTGATTTTCACTATTAGGTTGGATGGAATATCAAGAAACAACTAAAAAGGGTATTTGAGCTGCCCAATTCTTTTAACATTTTATTTTTATAATGACTACTTTATCATATTCATAAAACAGCAAAAATTGTAATAGATTTACGAATACTTTTGCAGAGAATAAATTGAGAAATTTAATTAGCCTGATACATAAGAGTATTTTTATAAAATTAATATATTGTGACAGATTTGTTAATGAGGAATATTTAAAATTTTATTCAATTAAACTTTATCAGGATTAGTTTTTGATAAACAAGAATGAATTAACATCAATAGTAAAGTTCTTGGCAATGAATTGGATTGGCAATTATAGAAAATTTAATTTCTACAATAATTGTTGAATGTCTGACTTGAAATTTTTGTATTTGAAAATTATTTGATTAATCGATATTGCCTAAAAGATTTTGTAGTCACTTGTTTTGAACTAAAATATAATTCGCCAAATATAATTTAAGACTTTAAAAAACCTTAATTTCTCTATTTAAATTTTTTATAAATATTTTTAATTTATTAATTCATTGCCTATATAACTTTTCAATTAAATTTAATGAATGGATTAATGAGCTGATATCCAAAAATATTCTATATTTACTGGGATTTAAAAAAATTGTGATCAAAGAAATAGTAGCAATAAACATTTAAAATGAATTATTTAATTTTTATACCATTTATGATATTTTTTAATATTCCCCTTGAACAATATTTTATTTATATGAGTACTGCATTTCTGCTCCATTATCTTTGATAAATGTATTATTTAGTAATTTGATTTAAAAATTAATATAAATATCTAAATCTTAAACAAATTTATTGTTATAAATTTTTTCTTAATTAAATTGATGTATNATTTTAGCTGTTAAAGTTCAGAAGATTCAAATGTGATTATTTTTCCTCTTTGGTCACTGAATAAGAACCATTTAAACCATACCGAAGAAAGCGAGGTTATGGATGCTGCTATTCCTTTCAATTTGAATCCTAAAGACTTATAATTCAATAATTTACCATTAGTGTTTACATAAGTAACCTATACAATAAAACTTTATGGCAATTCAAAACTAAAACTTCAATCTAAACTTATCATTTTCTCTCTCATCTTTAAGCATTATATATGTTACTCTTTATGTTTAGGTTTCTTATTTTTTGAATCAGCTCTGACCACACAATACAAATGGGATATTGTTATTTTTAAATATTTTGATTTTCACTATTAGGTTGGATGGAATATCAAGAAACAACTAAAAAGGGTATTTGAGCTGCCCAATTCTTTTAACATTTTATTTTTATAATGACTACTTTATCATATTCATAAAACAGCAAAAATTGTAATAGATTTACGAATACTTTTGCAGAGAATAAATTGAGAAATTTAATTAGCCTGATACATAAGAGTATTTTTATAAAATTAATATATTGTGACAGATTTGTTAATGAGGAATATTTAAAATTTTATTCAATTAAACTTTATCAGGATTAGTTTTTGATAAACAAGAATGAATTAACATCAATAGTAAAGTTCTTGGCAATGAATTGGATTGGCAATTATAGAAAATTTAATTTCTACAATAATTGTTGAATGTCTGACTTGAAATTTTTGTATTTGAAAATTATTTGATTAATCGATATTGCCTAAAAGATTTTGTAGTCACTTGTTTTGAACTAAAATATAATTCGCCAAATATAATTTAAGACTTTAAAAAACCTTAATTTCTCTATTTAAATTTTTTATAAATATTTTTAATTTATTAATTCATTGCCTATATAACTTTTCAATTAAATTTAATGAATGGATTAATGAGCTGATATCCAAAAATATTCTATATTTACTGGGATTTAAAAAAATTGTGATCAAAGAAATAGTAGCAATAAACATTTAAAATGAATTATTTAATTTTTATACCATTTATGATATTTTTTAATATTCCCCTTGAACAATATTTTATTTATATGAGTACTGCATTTCTGCTCCATTATCTTTGATAAATGTATTATTTAGTAATTTGATTTAAAAATTAATATAAATATCTAAATCTTAAACAAATTTATTGTTATAAATTTTTTCTTAATTAAATTGATGTATAATTAATTAGAAAATCAAGTTAAATTAAATAATTATTTTTCAATTTTATTCTATTCTAACTAAAATAGTGAATTATTTAAGTTTTAATAGAATTTATCCCTTATCAAATTCAAATCTGAATTGAAAAAAGCAAAAAACTTCTATGTTCTTCTCCCTATTATCTCAATTAACCTTTGAAATTTTCATTGTATTTATTTGATAAGGCTTTATACTTTCCCTCTAATTTAACCAAAAAAAAAGAGCTTGATTGGATAATCCCTAGTTTAAGAGTCAAAATGAATTTTCAGTTTTATGTATAAAATCCAAGTAAACTACAATTGCAATCTATTTTAAAATCATAAATGATTCAGAATTTAAATCAAAAATTAATTTTAATATCAATTTAAATTATATGTAAATAATTAGTTTTAACAACTAATGGAGTATCTATAAAATTAAAAAAAAATATTTCTTTTTTTTAGGGAAATAGAGAGTGATCTAATATTTATTATAACCAAAAACTCAGCTATTCATAGGATTAGCCATCTCTTTCAAGTTTTTATTATTGTTGTTGAAAGGATCAGAGCTATTTGGTTTTATAATCAAAGGTTAAAATGCTTGTGGTTACCAGTTTTCAGGTTAAACGACTGGTTCTAAATATTCTTAAGGAAGAACTGCTAATATAGTTATTGGTACCATTACAACAGGGACAGAACTACAACATGTGCAACCTTTATAATTTTTTCATTTTACCTTCAAAATTAGGAATAATTTTCACATAGTATGAAGAGTTTACAAAATTTCCTGTTGTAGACGGTGTTACAGTCAAATTGGGTTATTAAGAATAAACAATTTATAAAGAACATCCTTATGATGATGATTATAATGTTTTCATTCCTTTTTCAACACCTTTATGAGATAAGGCATTTAATTAAAATTCACGATTATATTAAGAACCTGAATTCGATCTGATATTCAGTCTATTTACAATCATGACATCAATATTTTCAATATTAAGCTTGCAATTTGAATTGTCAATATTGTAGGTTATTTAAATGAATTCTCCTGGAAAATATAAATTCTTCTCAACCTTTGCTGATATTGATGAAACCTAAATTACACATTATCATACTCCTTAATTTTTGCAACACCATGTAGTAAGATTAGCGGTTTCTTATTTTGAAGATATTTATAAAATTTCTTTTATAGGTTCTTTGATGATAATTTCTTATTTATTTTTGATATCGTTAATCGATTTAGAGGTGGATACAACTCTGACCTTAACTTTATAATTTAGGCTGGCTAGTATAGAACTTTAATAAAGGAAAGATCCAGGTAAATTTGGAGGAAGATGCAATTCAAAGGGAAATACAAATTGTCCAACCATTAGGTTTTCGTCTAAAAAGGTATTAATTACAACAGTATCTCTATGAAAGACATTTTTCCCGTGATGAGTTCTTCTGTGTTTACCAGAACCAATTGTCCATCTAGTTTTTTCTTTTCCTACTATTGAAAATTAAACAACATTTCCATGATAGCCTGGTTTCACTATGTGAAGATATATGTTTCCTTAAATTATTGTTTGACTTACCTTTAACAACATCTCCTGCAAAATATAACGATTTCTCTGTTCTAATCATTATTCCTCCAAATTCAGAACCTGACTTATTCCCCATAAAATTATTTAATTATTTACACAACTCAGAAAAAAACTCATTAAAAGTTTGATCGAAGGATAAATTACGATTTTTATTCTTATTCTAAACACAATGCACAAAAAAAGTTTAAGATGTAAAAAAATAAACGAATGAATTTTCATTTACATTAAGAGTTTTCAAGGATTATAATTTATGTAAAAATTTAATTCATTTGAATTCAATTAGTTAATTCTAAGAAATGAAATCAATTATAAGGTTTAAACTCATTTTCCTAAAGACAATTATTAGATGAAAAATTAATTAAGAATTATTAACAATAATTTATATTAAATTCAATGGCGAATAGACAAAAAAAGATTTCTGCGTCCAAAAGAAGATCAAGCAGTTTACATTCACATGTTGAATAACAATAGATTCAGTAAGAATCTGGAGTAGAGGTAATAATTCTTAAAATTAAGCAAATCATTGAAATCTATAAGAAACCGGTTTTATTTAGAAAGCCTCATGAAACAAGATTATTAATAAACTCATTAAGGAATATTAAGTTTTTCAAAGAATAATTTAATGAGCATTATGAAGGAATGTTAGAAGATGTTGCCGAAAATGCTAAGTTACATATATATAGTAAAAATGAGACAATCATAAAGCAGGATACTTATGGAGATACCTTTTATATCATAATAAAAGGATAAGCAAAAGTTGTGAAAAGAGTGGTTACGAATGTTGGATCATATATTACAAAAAAAGGAAAAAAAAGAGATAAATACCATGAATAAATAAAAGAAATTATGACTTTAAATGATGGTGACTATTTTGGTGAATTAGCATTGTTAGTAATTATTTACTATGTAATTAAAGGAAAGAAAACCAAGAGGAGCAGATGTTATCTCAGTCACAGATTCTTATATTTTAGGCTTAGATAAGGATTCATTTGATAGAATAATGGCTACTAAAACTAAAAGATAATTTTTGCATCTACTTGACACTTTAAGTTGCAATTCAATTTTAAAAGAAATATCAAAAAATACTGTCAAAGCATTGTTTATGATTATGGAGAGAAAAGTATATAATTATGGAGATATAATTTATAAATACGGAGAAAAAGGAAGCAGTTTATATTTTATAATTGAAGGAGAATTTAAAATGGTGTTAAATATATATAAAAATGAAGAGAGATAAGATAATTAAGATTTTAAACAAATAGAGAGAGAAGCAGAAATTTGTATTTTAGGAAGAAATGAAACTATTGGGCTTGAGGAATTTTTAGATGAAGAAAAGAGATAATGGAAAGCTATTTGTACAAGTTAAGTTGGAATAGTATATAAACTGAATAGAATTGACTATAAAAGAATAGAGCAAAGATATCCTGACATTGTTGATGCTATTTAAAAGATCAGAGATGAAAAGAAAAGCTATTATGAGGCGTGGAAGGACAAGCATGCTAATCCCATAAATGCTGGTACATAAAAATAAGATTAAAATGAGGACGATGAAAAATTCGATTATTAAAAGTATGTTGAAAGGTCGAAGTAATTAAAATAAATTATAATGAATGACAAAGAAATGTAATTCATATCTAGAGATTAAGTCACTATTAATGATGACATGGACATTATGTTGAGATATTGTCCTTATTTTTAATTAGGAGTATTATTTTCTTAACATCTAGGATAAAAAAGCAACTCCCTTTTTAGTAAACACAATAGAAACCATTTAATAAAGAAGAGTTAAAAGTGCTAATTATAGACCTTTGTCATCTGTGAATTAAGTAGAAACATAGAAACCTGTGAGACCAAATTCTGGAAAATTATCCTCTCCAAGGAAGTTGGATATTGAAAAAAACAAAATGAAAGTTGCTGAATCCTAACCAACAATTACAATAAATCAATAATTAACTACATAACCAGAAGATAATAAACAGAAATCAATGTAAAATTCTAGGGCAATTATAGTGTCTTCTCCAACTTAAGAATAAGAGTCATCAAAAATAATAATAAAAAAAAAAGCAAGAACATATAATGATGTTATACAAAATAAAATAATTTTTTTTATGAAACTTACACCATAAAAAATAGAGTAGATGGCTATCTAATAAAGGATAGATAAAGAAGAATTTAAAGTTAAAAAATTATACATTACTAATTACCCCCCGAAAACCACTGGCTAAATGTTAAATAGAATAAAATCAGCAGTAAAATTACAAACTTAGAATACCTCAACCTATAGAACAAAATATGGTTAAATAAGAAGAGGAATAGCTAGTAGTGTTAATTTGTTGAGTTCTGATGACAAAATTCCAGCAGGAGAATGCTCAAGAATACATTCTACTAAAAACTCAACTGGACTTAATTTTGATACTTCTGCTCTTCCTTTAAAATATTAAGCAGATATGATAGGAAAATAATTTTTATAAAAAAATAAATCTATAGCACCAACATAGGCATTTAAGGGATTGAGCAAGTAAAAATTTAAATAATTATCCACGGAATATTGAAATCTATCTTAAAATAATTTAGTCTTTTTTAAATATATATCAAGTTAAGTTATGAAATTTATAACTAATTTTTATCCAACAATTCCTAAAGGAGTTCTTTTGATCTTTAAATGAATAATTTCTTAGACTATATTTCTTTTAATCAATTTTTTTCTCTCGTCTTTTTAATTAAATTTTCTTTTATTCAATATTTTATTCCTACTCTGATTGAAAAACATACAATTAATTGTGAATCATTTTGATTAAAAAATTTATGAGTTGGATCAAAATGAATTTTTTAGATGAAAAAGTGAAATATTAATAAATTTTAAAATAAGAGTTATTTTAAAAAGAAAAATCAGAGAAGTAAGTTTAAAATAAGATTATCTAAAGACAGCAAAGAAGAAAAAATTTATAAATCATTATTATTAGAAGTTTAAAAAAAGGAACGCATCAAGTTATAAAAAAACCAAAGGCTATTATTTAGGAATTCTGTTTAAAGAAATTTAATTATTGCTGAGCTAGAATTCAAATTTTTCTATGATTAACCAAAATAAAAAAAAAACTCTCTGATGTCAAAGTCAAATATCATAAATACCTGATATAAATGATTGTAAATTCTGATATAAAATTAATATATACATCAATCAATTTTCTTAAGCTTATTTAATCTCCTTTCTCTTTTCCAAATGGAGAATAATGTTATGAAGAATAATGCAAATATTCCTATCCATATAATTACAATGTAAGTTGGAAATTTTTCAACAAAAATACCTTAATAATTTCTAAAGAAAAGAACCCATTCTCCTAGAACAATTGCATGCATTAACCAAGCATTAGGACCTAATCTTGTAACATTTCTAATAATATTAATATTATTTACTCATCTGAAATATACACATAATAATCCCTAGCAGCAACTATTGAGAAAAATCCTAATGGAAAAACTCTAAATTTCATAACATTATGAGCCGTATTAATTTAGAGTACAAATTTGTTAAAAAAGAAACTTAAGTCACAAAGATTCATAAAAACTAAAAACCAAATTACCAATAAAAATCTTTTAACAGAAGAAAATACTTTCCATTCAATTCTATCTAATTGAGGACTTAGACATAATCTTTTAAAATTTTTAAACCAAGAATCTTTTCTATTTTCTTTTCTTAAAGACCATTTGTACTCCTTCATTCCAAACAGTTTCATAGTGTACCATCCAACAATAATTCCTCCTGTATTACAAATAATAATATCTAAAATAACATGATCCCACCAACATTCCCAAAAATTAGGCAACCAATGTCTAAATGTGATTTCCATAAATTCAAAAGCAATTTACTAAAACATTGCTAATTTAAAATCTCTTAAAATCCACATTTTAACTGTCCATCCAAAGATGTGAGCTGGTACAAAAACATCAAATGAACTAGTCAAATTATAGAATTTGGATTTCTCATTTTCTGGTGTATAAAATCTACAATCTTCAGCATAACTTTTTTATGGAAGTGGTCTTCCTAATTTTGGATCAACAAACTACTAAAGAAATTGTTAAAGTTATTCAGGTGTCTAAGAAATTAGATAAAATATGATACAAAATAAATGAGAAAAACAATGCTCATCATATAAACACAAGCCCAACTTTATAATAATCTCCAGAATAATGGATGTGGTCTTTGAATTAATGTATTTGGAAAATAGCTACCTCCATAAGCACAAAAAGCTAAAAAGCTGAAGATATATCCAATATATGCACTCTCTTAAAGTGTTGGACTTTGAAACCAATAACTTGTAACATATAGAGTAACAAGCATAAATATTAATAAAGATATTGTTCTTGATCTGTAAAATACACTCCAGCCTTCAGATTCATGGAAAAATGTCGATTATATGTTTGGTGGAATGTATTCTCTTTAAAGCACTTCACACTGAATTCCTAAAATTAAATGCCTTTAAGATATATACCTTTATCAATTTTCTTAGATGATATTTCCATAAATAAAAATAATTTAATATAGATGTTAAATCAAAGTGATATTAATAATGTAGAGAATGTTATTTAATAAGTGATTGATTCCCTTTCAATATGTAGATAAAGGATAGAAGAATTACACATAGAAAAAGAGTCACATGATAAAATGAAAGAAAATATGGACTTAATTAAGTCAAGTTAATAAGAATTTCATCATATTATAAATGAATATTTCAAGGATTTAGGTGAAAATTTTAGATCTTTGTAGAGTCGATATCCTAATTCTGAAGTTAAAAGTAATTATACTACGAATATTAGAACAGTTAATTTTAAAATTAGATGAATATATTTAAAATTTAGATATTCAAGCTTCAAAATTAGCAGAAAATTAATTCACATTATAAGACTATGAATACTTTAAATAATAAAATTATCCAAATTTAATGTAAAATTTTAGTAAAATAAGTTTAGAAATGAATTATCAAAAGAAATAGATGAATTAGCAACTTATTCACAACGGAACAATAAACAAGATTAAGATTTATTACCATAGGTTAAAGTTAATCATAGAGTGGTAGAAGGCTTATATTTAACATTAAATGATTATGCTTCAGTTTAATGGAGTGGAGATATACCAATAGAGAATTGTAATAAACCAATAATTGAGTCTAAAGGAGGAATAGCTTTGGATAATTTAATTATTATAGATGAAACTCATCTTTAATATGGATTATATAATATAGCTACTAATGAGTATCATGTCCATTAATATAATTCAAAAGTGAATATCAATTATTCACCTTCTGTTGTTTAAGGAGAATCTGGCTAAACCTATTTGATAGGTGGAGTTACTTAATAAGGATTAATAAGTGCTTAATTTAACTAATTAGATGTGAATTCTGGTCAAATTATAAGTTTACCAGATATGAATGTTAAAAGAGTTGGATGTAGTAGCATTATTATAAGAGAAGGAGATTGTTAATATCTCTATGTTATTGGTGGTAAAACTTGTAATAAAGTGAAAACAAAATTATGTGAAAGATATAATTTTACAACATAAAAATGGGAATTTATAACTAAAATGAATCATGCCAGATCTAATTCTGCTATTGCAAAACATGATGATTATATATATGTTTTTTTTGGAATAGATTCAGAAAATCAAAATTCAAATTTCATTGAAAGATACAATTATGCTAACACAAAAACATGGGAAGTAATATGCATCTAAAATTCATTACCAGGTTTTGACAGTTCTAATTGTTCTGCTATTTCTATTAATTAAAGTTAAATCTTGCTTTTAGGAGGAATCAGGTATAGTATAATTTTCAATGATTAAATGTATTTTAATAGGAAATTACTTGCATTAAATATTACAAATAGCACTTTTTCAGTAATGGATAACTAATTACCAATTGATTTTATTCCTTACTCTCATATGGTTATATATAAAAATGAAATCTATGCTATTGGATACACAATTAAATAGGCTGAAATTAAGCCAACACTTTTTCTAGATGGAGGATTTGTTTTAAAAATTAGTAAAGATTATGTTAAAATTCTAAAATTTATACCAGCATTTTAAAATAAATGAAATAGATATAAAATTATAAAATTATAAAATTATTATTATTAAAATTTATTTATCATTTTACATTTATTTCTTAACTCCTTTTGATCGTGAAAAATTAACAATCTTAGAGATAATTATATGTTTTGTTCAGCAAATTTATTTCATTGTTTCAATCTAAACCTTTAGCTAATAAAATTAAGAGTTTCTAATAACTGTAAACAGAACCATATATAGATAGATAGTTTTTTGTATAAATATCTAACTAAAATGAAATTATAAAATCATATTGATTTTTTTTTTATTTTTTTTGAAAAAAGGATAGACTAAGTTTATATGAGATTTACATAAAAGATAATTAGAATTGTCAATTTGTAAAGCAATTTTAAGAGAAAAAACATTTTTGATAACTGCAATCAATCATATCTATATAATATTAAATATTATGCCATTTTAAATAGCTTATTAAAACTAAGTAATAAATTAGAAAGAATAATAATAATTTTAGAAGTAAAATATAAATATAACCATAAACTAATAATTTTTTTATTTTCAATATATTTTCTTATCATTTTTCCTGATTATATTTTCTAAAACCTTTATTTCAATTAATACATCTCTAGAATTGGCTTTGATATATAATAATTAAATAAAGGGAGTTAAATACTAATTTATATATTTTAGGAACATACCCTTTATAAAAATATTTTTGAATTCTTTAATGAAGTTAAAACCTTAAATTACTTGAGATAACATGATAGATGTATGTTTGTAAGAATAATATGTTGATTTTTATATAAGCGTAAATTTAAGAAGTTAATAATCAATTATTACTTTTTAGTTGAATAACATAAAACAATAATTAAATCTATCTGAACTAAAAAAACTAAATAAATGAAAAAGTTTTCCCATTAAAATTAATATAAATTATATTGATAATTGTTTTATGTAGATCAAAAATAAAATTCATTATATATTGTAAAACAAAAAAAATTTATTATTTATAATATTTGTACATTTTGATTTAAAAGTGATAAAATAAAGGAATAATAGATATATTTTTTTTAATGATTAAAAGATTGAGTTATGCAGATATTAGAACTAGTGCTTAAAATTAGATCAAATAAAATATGGCAGTGAAGCCTTTGAGGCCCTCTAAATTTTTAAATGACTTTGAAAGTGTTCCAAAAAATTTTATAAAAGAAAAAGAATTTGAGTAAGTAATTGAATATGTGACCCCACGACCAATAAGAAGAAGAGTGGCTCTTGGAAATGATAAAGTTAATTTAAAAGTAGAATTTACACTTCCAAGTGTTTAAAATATTTCAATTCATAGTCAAGAAGGTGGTATTGATTTGAAAAAATCTGAAATTTTGCATATCGATAAAAAAATCGAAAATGAATTAGAAAGTATTAATAGAAAAATCAAAAAAATAATCAATAGCAACAAAAGATAAGTAACTTTTTAATCCTCTTTAATTGTCATTGATGAATAAAATAAGATTTCTTAAATAAAGGATCCTTACTTCTAAATGGATGATCAACGTAGAAGAAAAACCATTGTAAGACACAAGACTTTGGAAGTTTGATCAATTTAGTAGGAAATTTCTTTATATAATGTTGATTAATACAACATGTATAATTAAAATTAAAAACAATTTAAGAAAAAATATTATAATATCATTTATAAGAACTTAAGTCTTCGATTTATTTTTTAGCAAATAAAAGTCCGTTTTTCTCTAAAAATCTCTAAATTTATTTAATGTGATTGAGAAATTGTGGTTCTTTACTATTTTATGCTTATTCAATCTAAAAATTATTAATAAATCTTACAAATTATAAGATTGGCTTTATAATTGCTTCTGCTTCTTGTTTATCAAATTAAAGAAGTTTAGCTCTGATTAAAGCTTATAATAATAAATGATCCTGGAAATAGGCATCATCAATTTAATTTCTAAATTTCTCAAAATTTTCATAAATAACTTTTAATAAACCTTGTTAATCTTTGATATCAACTGGCAATTCAATTATAACTTAAGCAGTTAAATGTAGTAATTATTCTAAATTTATTTTTTCTGAACTATTTTCTATAAGAATTAAAGCTTAATGTATATGTTCAGACAAAGCTTTACTATAACCTTATTTAAAAGTGTATTCTATAGATAAAAGCAACACTTCTGATATAATAAAAGGATCTGTCACTCTAAAATTTTTCATAGTTTCAAAAAGTTTTTCATAATCTGCCTCATTTACTTCTTTTTAGGATTGAATAACAAATTTATACATTTAAACTAAAAGTAAGAATTCAGATTCTCCATATTATGAAATTTCATCATATAATTCTTAAATTAATTAAATAGATTTCTCATAATTTTCTTTTAAATAGGATCTTGCTATTCTACATTAGCATAAAATTGATTTAGGTGTTATACCGCTAGCAAAAGTTTCATAAATCTAAATTAGATTTCAATTAATACTTCATGAGCTTTTTCTAAAAATGATCTAGCTTCTTCCTCTTATCCAGAAATTAATAAGAATTCAGCTAATATCTCAAAATTTCTAGCTATTTTACTCATAGCTTATTGTTTTCCAACTTAATATTTAATTTATTCAACATTCTCTTTATGTTTGATAATGTCATTAACAATTTTAACTGCTTAATCTAGACATTTAGTTGATTCTTCTAAAAATTGAACATAACCTTCTGGGTTTAAAGTTTTCTAATAGAAAGCCTTCATGTCAAAATATTAAGATTGCCTTAACAAATTGTTAAATTCAGCTTCGCCTAAATCACTTATTTTTGATTCAAAATTATATATGTTTTCTAATATGCCTTTAATTCGCCTAATTTATATAATTTATTTTACTCTAACACTAATTCTAATAATTGTATTTCTCTTCTGTTTAATCTATAATGGTATTCCAATAAGGATAATTCCATTGAAATATTTAATATCAATTAAATCTTTTATGGATATTGTTTTGGAATATATAATCTTTCTATAAAGTTCTTATCGAACATTTCTTCAAAAAATTCCCAATTCTTATCTTATAATTCACTGCCAATCAAATTTTCAGCAAGATGGATTTTTTATAATACTTTCTAAATTGAAACTGAATTTTATTTGGGTTATGAAACTTTGTTATCCCAATATTCAACTAATTTATCAAATTCTTAATTTTTTAAGATTAATTAGGATGATCTATTTTAACTATTAATTTTACTCTTTTGCTAATTTGTTTTATTTTGAAAAGGAAAAGTAATAAACATGTTAAACTCTTTTTTAAAGTTATGCTAAAGGTCGCAAAAAATTTCTTATCATTAATATTATGTTCTTATTATTCTAGAAATTTGCTTTTATATATTTTAATTAAGGCATTTATTAAATTCTGTTGTAATACAATTCCTTTGGAGCTTTCTAGAAAGAGCAGAAATATCAATCTTATTTATAATATTTATTAATAGATATTGTTTAATCAAACTCAACTTATGGCATTGATTAAACACTTTGGTGATTAAATTAGATTTTCTGCACTTAAAAATATATAAGGATTATTACTTCATCAATTAATATTGGGTATTAAAATAATAGACTATCTGAATCTAATCTAGCATAATCTATCACTTCTTTAGGTAGTGGTCTTATTCTCCAATCTGATCTTTGATATAGTTTATCTAAATGAATGTTCAAATGTTTTTTGCATAATTTTTCTAAAGATTAAGCATTTGGAGATTTAATTAAAGCCATATCAATCTTACTTGAATCTAATATTGATTTCAAAATTAATTTTAAATCACTAAATAGAATTATTATATCAACATCACAACCATGAAAAATTTTTTATAATTCTTAATTTTCAAAAATAGGTTTTAAATATTTATTACAGATATGTCTAAATCTCATTGCATCTATTACATAATCTACATCTATAGTAGATAATTAAATTGTGCAAATAAAAGCTATTTTATATTTATCTATTTTATCAATAAAATGTTCAGTATCTATTCCCACAACATTATAATTTTAAATTAAATTATTCATACATTATTCTAATTGTTTTTCTGTTTCTACAACAATTAATTATTTTTTTGATTAAACCTCTTAATAATATTAGGGCATATTACCTTTGTTAATCTTGTAATTTTTTATGATTTTTCAAAAAATAATAGCTCTTTCTGAGTTAATTATGATATATCCGAAAACTATTTGATAAATTTATAATTTTTTTCTTCTTGCAATTAGATTTAAGGTAATTTTGTAACATGATCTAATTCAATTTAATAATTAATTAAATTAAATTTAAGTCCTTATTTAGAACCATAACTAACAGAAATAAAGTTATCGAGCATTTAATAAATATCCATAAATCTATGAATAACAGCTATTTCAATAATTGTAGATGAATTTGTGTTTTAAAAGATTATAAAGTTATAAATATCAACTTTAGTAATCTATTTTAAAAAGTAATTCCTATAATTGCTATAAATATATTAATTATATGTCTAAGATGATCTAAATCATAGATTGGTTAAAAATGTTACAAGAAATATTTGATATATTTATTTTCTTTAAAACTTTTAGTAAGATTCATTAAAGATTAAAGAATTTCTTACAATTTAAATTTTGTTATCTTTTCTAATTAAAGTAAATATGGTTTCATTTAATCTAATAAATATTGAAATGTTTCAAATTGATCATTTTTACTGCAATTTCCATAGCTGTGAATCCTTCATTTTCTAAAAGAAAATCTGCTTAATTTTCTATTAATAATTTAGCAGTTTCATAATGATTAAATTTAGCAGCAACAATTAAAGCAGTTTCTCCAAATTTATTCCTACTATTTATATCACAACCAAATGCTATTAAAATAGGAATTGAACTTAATGCTTCACTTGATGCTGGTTCATATAATGGAGTATTTTCATCTTTATCTTTAGATTCCACATCAATTCTATGCTCTAATAATAATTAAGCAATTAAAGGAAGTCCCAATTTATCTTCCATCTCTACTACCTTTAGGATCAAATACTGCATTATGTAATGCATTTCTTCCTAATTTATCTGCATAATTATCGTCTATATTAGGTTATTAAAGTAGATATTCAACCACATTATATAATCCTAAAAAACTTGCTTTTGAAAATGGAGTTCTTCCCAAAGCTATTCTAGATTTATATTTGCACCTCTTTCTAATAAGAATCCTATTATAAATAATTAACCAAATGAACATGCATAATAAAATGGAGTTCTGTTTTAATTATCTTAGTGTTCTAAATTTACTTTTTATTTAAGTAAATATTCTATCATTTTTATAGATTCCCTTTTTATAGCTTAAAATAAAGGAGTCATACCATCATTATCTTCACATTCCCAATCTACATTTTTATTTTATAAATATTCAGCATAATTTATTCTAGCATATTTTTATATACCAAATGAGGAACTAACGTTTTATCTTTCCTCTTTAAGAATTTTATAAATTGAAGCTCCTTTCTCAATTAAATCTTTAAAAACTATAAATTTATCATCTTATATCGATTCAATCAATTCAGGATTGCTTTTTTATTCATTATTCTTCTATATTTATACTCTTTTTTCTTTTTTAGGTAAATAATTTGGTTCTATATTATAAGTTATTTCAAATTTTCCCATGAAATCCTAATACCAACTATATAAACATGATATCTAAGGAGGTATTCCTTTTTTAATCACCCTATGAAAAATTCTACTTTTGTGTAAAAAGCTAAATACCAGCAAATCTATTATTCCATATTATGTCAATTAATATTTCCTATATTATGGTTACATTTCTATCTCAAAATTTTTACCAAGATAATTTTATAAATCTGAATAAGTACCAAACATTGAAAAAGTTTATTCTAATTAGAAAAAAAAAATAACATTACTTGCATATCCTTATTTATACTAAGTATAAATAATGTCCTTCCTAATTTTTATAATAAGCTAAATTATTTCATTTACTTTCTTTAAATCCTGAAAAACTTATTATACTGCTTGATAAGAAGGAATATGTATGTGTAAATATATATCGAATTACATTTCCATTCAAAGTATGCTTTTAAATAATTAAAAATTTATAATAAATTATTTTTGAATGATTAAGAAATATTAATAAATATTACTAATTAATTCTTTTATACTTTTTTAGAATTTTATAAATTTTTAAAAACACAACAACATGATTTAAAAATATTTTATTCCATTTTGTATTTTATTAAATAATTGCTATTTATCTATTAAATCTACTGAAATGCCATTATTAAAATCAATAATGAAATAAAGATCTTTGGAGTTTGACAGAAATCTTATTTACTATTAAAATTTATAATGTATTTTTATTGGCATTATAATCTACTTAAATATTATCATACTTTTGAATTAATTGTATTTTAAGTTTATAGATTTAGCAAATATAAGTTTAAAAAATAATATCAAATTAAGATATTTTAAAAAATAATTATTTATTTATATTAAGATATAAGTAGGAATAATATGAAGAATTATGATTGAAATAATATTTGAATCTAAAATTAGGTTATATTTTAAATTTCATATTCAAATTACTGAAAAAAAAATTGAAAAATAATCTTATATTATAATTAGTGTATAAATGATATTATAAAACTTAGATTATTTGCTCAATTTATCAGATCATGAATGATAAATCTGAAATATAAAACAATTTTTCCTATAATAAAAAAAGATTTTAATGATGCTAGTTGAAAATACTAAGCCTAAATAAAAACAAAATAATTAAATTAATAATCTATAAACATAACATATAATGAGAATTATATATAAAATAAAAAACATTAATTTTATTCTGATTGTCTTGTTATTATATAAATTTTAATTATTTCAAATTATTTCCCTTTGTTGCACACCATAATAGCGTCACTATAATTTATATTTAAAGATTTTAAGGAATAAAAAATTAATCAAATCTTATATAATATTAATAAGAAAATGGGGAATAAACATAGCACTGAATTTGGTGGAATTTTCGTTGAGACTTCAAAAGCCTTTTATTTTCCTGGAGAAATAATTTAAGGTAAAATAATTGAGAAACATACTTCTAGGAACGATTAGTTTAAACATAACAAAACCTGGTTATCCTGGAAGAAGACTTTAAATAAGTGTTACAGGAAGAGAAATTTTACATGGTGCTTTAGATATAAATGATAATAGTGATGATGAAGATAAATTATCAACGAATACAACTTAAAAAATAGTAAAGAGTGAAATAGTGCTTTATGAATTTCAATAACCAACTATACCAATGGGTTAATTTACAATTTAATTCACGTTCCAATTACCATAAAATATACCAGGAACCTACAATAAAATACATTTAAGTGGAGCTTATGAGAGAATCATATATAAAATAAAAGGGTCTATTGTAGCAACCAAGGGATATAAAACAATGAGTCATATTTAATAAATATAGGTTAGAGAACCTATATATTATCCTGAATAATAGATTATTGGAGATGGAAAACTTAATGATAATGGATATTGCTGTAGATAAAAAGGAGTAATAATTTTATTATTATAATTAGAGTGCATAAATTACTGCTATAACCGACAGAAATGTTTATAGAATTGGAGAAGCAATAAGAATTTTAATAGAGGTAATTGATGAAGAGAAATTTCAGAAACCAGAAAAAATAATAATACAATTGGAAAACATAACATAATATAAATATAAAAATAATAACATAGAAACAAAAAAAAAAATAATTACTGAAGAAGAGATTTAAACAACTACAAAAAAACTTGGTTCCTATAAAGTATTAAATTAACAAGAAGTAGTTCTATTTGCATAATTAAAAAATCATAATAATAATGATCAATATAATATGATTTAGCCAACTACAAATGGCAATATTATTAAATCAAATTATCAAATTTTGATTAAAGCTAGCTTTGGAAGTAAAATATAATTTATTATAATTTCAGTAAGCTGTTGCAATTTAAGTGAATGTCTTGAATTGCCTATACAAATTATTTCGTCTTCAGTGTTACAATAACAATCTATTTAGCCTCCATTAGGATGGAAACCAATCCAACTTAATGATGAGAATCTTTAACTATTAGCCAATGCAAAATAAAGTGGTACCAGTTTGCATTCGTTTTCTACATATTAAAAGACTTTATAAGGAAGAAATAGTTATAATGAATAATAAGAATCATAAAGATCTATTAGAGTTGGAAATTCAATCTAATCTTTAAACTATTAAATGAATTGAGTGATTATATATTGTTATCAATCATAATGGCATTCAAATTTTTAAATATTAATCAATTTTAATTTAATTCTAAAGAAACAAATTCATAAAAAACAGAACTATTACAGACTTAATAGTTCTGTTTAGTCTCAATAAAAAGAAAAGTGACAAGAATTTTTCCCTTTCTATAAATTCATTGCTTTAAATAATTAATCATTATTATTAAGTTAAGCAATCGTGTTCTATTAAAATAACATTAAAATTTATTTCTTTCTTATTAATAATTTAATCCTTCTAAAATTTCTAAACAATCTTGAATGACTTTATCTTATTAAAACTATTCAATAAACTCATTTATATAATAAAAATACTCTATCAATATAACTTTAAATATAAATATAGAAGGCAAATTTATACATCCCATAAATGTTATATAATATTTGAGTTTAAACATAAAGAAACCTTAAGATTTAATATAATTGTTTATGTTTAATTGACTTAAATCTTCTTAACTAACAAACATTTTTCTTAGTTACACCGAACAAACAATAATCATACTATATTACTTGGGTTATAGAAGTAAAGAATCTTAGATATTATTGTAATTTAATTAATTTGATTTAAATCATAATTCTTTTAATCTCAATTAACTTTTCAACAATTTACTTTCATTAACTCTTATTATTATTTCATTGATTGATTTTTTCAAATTTTAATGATTTTGTAACAAAGATTAACACAAATAATAGATTATTAGATGATTTATGTTATTTTTTGCAAAAAATTTAATCTTTATAAGTAATATAAGTTGTTATAAAATTTATATTTAGATAATAAAAATAGTTTATACTATATATTATTATAAAATGTTTGAATATTATGCAATAGGAAAAGAATCAAATAAAATTCATGATATTCATAAATATCTTTTAGGCATCTGCAACAAAAAAATGGTTGATAATTTAGTTAAAAATTAAAATAAGCAGTAAAGAGTCAGCCCCTCTACTGAATAAAAAGCAAGACCCTCATTTAGTTATCGCCCTAAAGAAAAATGTAAGGTGACATTTTAGATTAGATCCAACTTTAATAGGAGCTCAATATAAATATTTTAAAGCACAACCAAAAAGGAAACAAATTTACTTAAGCACACTATAGAATGATCAATCGGAATCTACTCCAAGATTGAAAGCGAACTCTATAATTTAAGATTAAAAAATTGTATAATAAATGAATTCAGCCAGGGCTATTTAAACTGCATAATATAAAATCGAAAGAAATATCTCAACTTAACAAGCAGAGAAAACATCTAAAAACTACTATCTACCTAAATGTGATAGTAATTGGATTATTCATTTAAGAAGTATAAGATAAAGAAAAGAATAGTTATGAACATATATATATATACTATAAACATTTCATCCTGGCTTTTTTGACATAGCTTTTAAATCTATTTTTATATTAATTGGTTATGGTTAGGGGTTTTTTTATTTTAAAGTATTATAATTTAAATTTGATTCTGAACCAGTAGTGTGGCTTAAATTACTTGTTTATTAAAAACTTCTTGGAGAGTTTAATAACTTTTCAGATGATATTGGAACTTAGGTTTCTTTTGATGTTGATATCTTTGATTTTTGAGAATTTTGAGGTAATTATAAATTGGAGTTTATTTTTACAGAAATAAATTTAATCTATTCAGGTTTTTAATATACTTTTTCTTAAGAAAATAGTTAATTAAATTATTATTAATTTTGATTTTCAATTTTATAATTTAAAACAGTAGAGTTTAAAGATTATTTTTTATTTCCATAATTTTATTATTGTTATTATGAATTTCTTTATATATAAATGGCCTAAAATGAATTGTCATAACTAATACTTTTTAATTGCGCTACTTTTCAATTAATTTTTAATAATTAGTTGTATATTCTTCTGAAACATCTAAATTTTTATAAGAAGGACCTATATTCTATTCTATTTTATTCTTCAAATTTCTAATTTCTGAATTTATTTAATAAACTAACTCTTATTCTTATTTATCATCTTCCATATTTTATTGATTAGTAATTGATAAAGGAGATTCTTGATAATTAGATTATTTTTAAGTATTATTTGATTTGTTAATATCTTATCCACTATCACTATCAGAAGGTAAAAGTTTATTGAATTTTGAGCTAATTTAATTCTTTTGAATTCTGTTTACAAAAGGACTTGAAGAATGACTTTTATCTTCAAAATCTGTAAAATCTTCTTCATCTGACGATTATTATATTTTCTTTATTTAATTATGTTATCTTCCTCTAAAAGATGGTTGTATTGTTGAATTAGCAGTTCCAAAACTATCTAATAATATAATATTTTCTTAATTTTATTGGTTTAATTATCTATAGAGTTCAATTATATTGACTTCCTCTATTGTTGTGTTTTTTATATAAGAATTTTATTTAAATCTAAAATCATTACTCACTCTTTCAAATTCGTGTTAAAAAGTTAAAATTTTATTTTCTTTTTGTAAAATAATTCTAGATTTGTTATGATTAAAAGATGAATTTAAAGTGAGTTTGCAATTTGAAAATAAATATCCATTTACAATTAATGATTCATGAATCATAAAATGCCAATGACTAAAATTTAAGGCATTGTTTAGAAACTCTTCATTTATGTCTTCACTAAATTAATACTATTTATCTTAATAAAAGCGAATAATTGAAAATGACTTATCTGAATTCTATGGGCCTAATTTTGATTAGCCCATTTATTTATAATGATTATTATTAGAATGCTCAATAATTAGATTTACAAAAAGTAAATAATTATATATATATATTTATAAAACTCATTTATATTTAATCTTCTCAAGATTTGTTTTATTGTAATGGTTGTGCCCTAGAGATGATATTAAATAAATTTTACGAATTTTAATGGTTTATTAAAAATGGGTATTTCTTCGGTTAGTAAAAAAATAGTATGTCAGAAACTGAAACCTAAATATTTAGAAAATCAATAAATTAGAATAGAAAATTGAAGATTTTATATATCAATACTAAAATGTACAGAGAAAGTGAGCAAGAACAGATTAAAAGTTAATGGGTTAGATAGATACTTATATCTAATAATTCGAAAATTGTTGCTATAAAATATTAAGAATAATGGCTTCTATATAATTTAATAGAAAAAAAGTCAAAAATTTTATTATTCCAAAGAAGTGGACCTGGAATGTTTTCTCCTGATTCCTAATATTTTATAGCAGTAGGAGTAAACATTTCAGAATAATAAGAATCAGTTTTATTAATTAAGTTAATGCCATATATTGAGAATCCGCTTTAATTATTGACTCTTGGAAACTAAGTGAAATGTCTAGATATAAATGAGCAATCAAATAAGTTATTATTGAATCTAATTAATGGTTCTTTTGAAATTTGGGATATTAATACTAAATAAAGAGAGCTACAATTAAATTAAAGTATACGATTTGATTTTACATAATTTTGTAATAATAGAATCATAGGAACTCAACCGCATTGTATTACTTATTTTGATTAAGTCCGATTGAAACAAATGAAAAAAATATTTGTTTCAGGAAGACTTTCTGAATATTAAAAATATTCTCATTACTGTGACGTTAAACAAATAACACCTTTTTTAATTCTTTTTAGACAGAATAGAGGCATGGAAAAATTTTGTTATAGAATTATCAACAATCAGAATTCAAAAATGATCAGAATATTTAAGGATTGTTAGCGATTTGAGAATTTAAATATAAATGTATCTCCAGATCATAAACGTTTTGCAAGGTTATCGAAAATTTAAAATACATAAATTGAACTTTTAGAAATAGATTCAGGCAGATCATATACCTTTATCAATTGTTTAGATACAAAATAACCAATTTGTTTTAGTTGTGATTGGAATATTATTATTTAATCTACAAAGCATGGTTATGCAAAAGTTTATAGAAAGATTGAATGAAAAATTTAATTTTATTTATTATAACAAATATCTCAAGAATAAGATTATTCATATATCTATATAGTTATTAGTTTTCATTTCTTCAAATCTAGATTAATTCTTTAATTTTAATATTAAATCAAAAATAAAATGTAGTAAGATGATGAAGCATTTTTAAAAATAATAGAATATCCTATCTTTCCTAATTCAAAACTATTTAGGCTTAAATGCAAGTTCTTTGATTAACAAAAATTATAAAAATAATTATAAACATCTGGAATTTTAGCGTTAAGTATAATAGGTATTTGAATAAATGAAAAAGATAATTTATTATTGTAATTTTAATAGTTATTAGAATTTTTATTAGTAATTTCCACTTTTCATAACTTCTTAGATTAGTTTCAAACTTATGATTTAAATCATATAAAATTTTCACCAAATTAATTGAAATAGAACTAATTACTTTAAAATTTCAAATTGCAATACAAATATGGATAATTATTTCTTAAATATAGATGCGATATATTATAAATGATTATCATTTTTGATAATAGAATTATGATTGATATATTAACTCAAAGTAAAGAGTAGATTGAAAATATTTATAATAGAGATTAAGATGATTAAGACCAAAATAATAAATTGATATAAAGAGAATGCATTTAATTTAATAATATTATAAGTTAAAAAATGAGTATGAAAAATATACTCTATTATCAGTTGATGATTTTAATAATAAATTTGAATATATATTTATATATGAGAGTTTAATTCTAAACTGATTATGACACTAGAGTTACTCATAACCCATCAAAAAAGAAAGAATTTTCACAAAATACTAAATAGTCTGATATAACAGTACTTTAAAATTATGAATCGAATTATAACAAAATTGAATAAATTCCTGGACATATGAGATCTAAATCCTATGAACATGATTGCTTAACCAAAGCATCAAATACTTTTGGACTTAATATTGATTAAGCATAAGCTTAACCACTTAAAACAAAGCGCTAACACAGTATTTCATAAAAAGAAAATGATCCAGGATTTATTTCTCCAAAATTTAGATTTGAAAGTTGTGATACTCTTATTACAAGAAAATCCTAAAAGTAACTTATCTAAATAAAACAATATTAGTAGTTTTATCAATGAACTCTAGGAATGTGTTGACCTTTCAAAAGTAACTGAACTATCTATGTAATCTTAATTATCTCCCAGTAAAGCATATAGTGAATTATATTAAAAAATAGAAGCTAAAGATTAGTTAATTGATGAACTTCAAAAATAATTAACAAGTTCAATCAAGAACATGACTTTGCAAGTAGATTTAATTAGAAATGAAAAACATCAAGTTATTCAGTAATAGATTAGATAACTAGAAATTTATGAATAATAGTTACATGAAAGTAGATAAGAAGCATAACAAAAAAATATAGAATTGATCGATTTAAAAAAAAATTATAAAGAATTAAAAAAGCTATTAGATGCAAAATAAGATTTATTCTAGTTTAATTGTATTTATACAATTATATTAATTAGCAATTCAATCTAATTTTTAATCAAAAAAAGAGTGTATATGTTGCTCTTAATTAGAAAGAGAAAATAAAGCTTTGCTTGCCAAAGTTGAATAATTTAGACATTAGTTATAGGTTTTAAAACATAATCTTGAATTTAATAATTTATCAATGAATAATCAAATTTCTGTTATAGAAAAATGTGATCTAACATAATTTGAAAAAACATTTAAAAAATTAGCTGATGAATTAAATTTAACTATAGATAGCAAAAATATCAATTCAAGCTTTAGTTTATTAAATTAAGAAGTCATTGAAGGAGTAAAAACTCTAAAATAATAATATAAAGAAAATGAAAAATTTTTGAGATGCTTAAAAGATTTAGTTATTTAATGTGCTCCATAAGACTATTTTTTCTAAATGGATCCAAGTTTGAAAGAAGTATGGAAATTTATAAAATAAATACTTTAATCATATTTAGAAAATAAAAAATAAGCATTTTAAAATGAAGTATCATACATTTTTATAAATTAGGACATTGTTCTAACATTGTGTAAATACTTTAGATGTAATAAAACAGAATTAAATCATAAAGGAGCTTGTCTGATTGTTGATTAAGAGGTTTATTAAAGAATTGTTGAAAAAGTTAAACGAATTTTTAATTTATCTTCTTTATATAATATTAGGGAACTTGATAAAAAATTGGATTATTATTTATAATGATTAAATTTGGAATAAATAATTTTGAAGCTAATAGCTTTTATTTTATAATTATATATAAACAACAATTTTACTTATTTTCAATGTTTAAAGTAAATTATCAAGATTAATTAGTTTGTTAATTAATTTTTTATGTAAACAATAGATTTTTTTTGATTAAATAAATAAACATCACATTTTTATATAATTAAGGAGTTGATAAGTTTAGTATTGTAAATCATTTTTTTTTAATAGATTTAATTAAATTTTATGAAATTGCAGGATAAGAAAGATTTTCGCCTTATCTCTTAATTTAAAAGTCAATATTGTAAATTAAAATTTATTATATGTGGAATCGTTATTAATGAAATCATGTACACTCCATCATAAACTGCTTTAAGAGAATGAATTTCTTAGATATTATATATATTTAATTATTAAGAACAAAATTTGAGTATTAAAGAAAACTTTTTGTTTAGGAATAAATTACAATTTATTCTACTCAAGTAGATAGAAAATTTATCATTTTCTTATTAAATTCAAATATGTTTCAAAAATAATTAAATTATTAGTATATATTATGTTATATCTATATTACAATTACAATATTTAATTAGTTTCTAAAGGTCATCACTAAGATAATAATTTAATAAAAAAATAATACCTCACAAAAATAGAATTTAATAAAAGTGAACAAGATAATTAATTTAATGCTTATTTTCTATTGATTTTATCCTTTTCCTAGTTTTTGATTAAACTTTATAACCGATTATTAAAATTCAGTGAGATATTTAAGTTAATCATATTTGTATTTTGCCCTTTTTCACTTAATTGATTATATAATGATGATCTACAATAATAAATTTTTAATAATTAATTCTTTAGCAATAACCCAATAAAAATAATAAACTAATTTTAATTAATACATAATTTATTCATATTGAAGTGTTCCTCGTTTTTGTTTCTAGAATTTAATGAATAATTGATTTAATAGATTCATTAATTTCTATTAGAGAGAAACTTAAAATAGGGTAAGAGTTTTCGAATTCTAAATCATTTTAAAGAGAATCCAATAAATTGATAAGCTTTTTAATTTGTTGTAATATTTTCTATGAAAATTCTTGATCTTAATATAATATTTTTTCATCTTCTAAATTCACTTACTTTGTAATGTTCCGCTATTTAAATTGTTTCTTGATTTCGTGTTGAATAATAATTGAAATATTTGAACGTATAATAATTAAGTAATTAATGCGTTCTCTTGTTTTGTGGTTTAAACTGTCTGTATTTCCAATAAGTTCTATTAATTAACTAAGTCTATGGTATTGCTCTAGTATTAATTAATTTTCAGTTTTTTTTTCTATTTCTTCTTTAGGCTTTTCTTTGAGACGGATATCGCAATTCTCAGTTTTTGGCTTTTTGGTATAGCATGAGCCCATTATTAAAAATGTAATTGTAAAACTAAAACAATAATGATTATTTAAAAATTATTATATTCAGAACTCTTGAGAAAAAGATTTATTTGAAACCATACGTATTTAATTTCTTAATAAAATTACAATCCAATCCAATTTATTTTAGGATTTGAATTTATTGTATGGTTTTAATCAATCCTTACTAAAATAATGGGATTAGATGCAAATTACTATTTTTAAAGATATTATATATTGGTACAAAATTATTATTATAGTTTTACAAATTTAGGCTTCTTTTGATTTTAACTTGTCGTTCAGTAAAGGATCTAATTAATGTTAATTTATTACTCTAATGAATATTTGAATGCTTTTTAAAATTGACATTTAAACAAATCTAGAATTATATTTATAAATAATATTAGAAAAGTATTATTATTGAATATAAAATATATATTTAATAAATTAAGATAAAAAAAACTCTAAATATTTTAATATAAGTGTTTTACTTACATTAAGCAAGAAAGATAAAAGAATCATCAATTCTATTAATATAAATAAGATAAGAAAATAAAGATAAATTAATTTAATTCACAATAATTGTAATGAATATTAAATTAAGTAAAACATCTATAAAATACATGATATATAATGAAATATTTTTTAATATATAAATGTTTTAACTTTTTTATAATTTTTTTAACAAATATTGAATGTTTTTAATAATAAAAGTTTCAGAATTTAATGGATTGATAAGTTTTTTAATTTTAACAATTTATAAGATTAATACTAAATGTATTTAATCATTGATCTTGATCCTCTTCATTTAGTATACCATTAATCCATGTTCCTGTAACTTCTACTCCATTTTAAACAGTTTTTCCAAATCCATGTTTAAGACCATCTTTAAATTCACCTTCATATATTCCTCCTTAATTATTTTATAAACTTCCCTATCCATGCATTTTTCCATTTAAAAAATCACCTAAAATAAATAAAATAGATAAATACCTCTATAAAATCTACCATTAGGATATTTAAGTTCTCCTTTTCCTGTTATCTAACCATCTTAAAAACTTCCTTCATATATAACTTTATTGCTAAAATAATATTTTCCTCTTCCATGCATTTTATCATTTAAAAATTAACCGTCATAATAATCAAGCTTATTTTTGAAATTTAATTATCCTCTTCCACTTTTCAAACCTCTTTAAAAATATCCTTCATATTTATAATCTTTATTCTCAAATATACCCTTTCCATGAGGCAATTCATTTTGGCATGCTCCTTTATAATACATGTTTTAATCTCTAATTTCAAGGTCACTTACTATAATGTCATTTTCCCATATGCCTTGCTTAATAATATATAAAATAAATTACTTTAAGATAATCTTATTTTATTAATCTACCATAACCACTCTTAATATTATTTTTAAAATAACCTTCATAAATTTCTGAATCTTATACAAGTATTCCATAACCATGCTTATTATTACTACCCTATATCTATCCTTAATAATATGTTCCTTCATTATATTTAATTAGATAAATTTGGTTTTCTTAATAATTAGGTTTTTATGGGCATTCATATTTTCCATACTTATTTATCATTTATTATGCCCATTCTGGATACGGCTTTTGAATATTTAACTTTGAATCATTAAGTAAAGTTGCATTATTTGGATTTATTTAAGATTATATCAATTCGAGATTTTAATTCTATTTAATTTATTTACTGTTCTCAGAATCTTATGACAATAAGTGACTACTAACAGTTGTTATAACTGGTGGTTAATCACTGATATTTTAAGATTGCACCTATTTTAAACCCAATATTATATTTTGCTTTTCATTATTCAAAATAATTTAGCTTGCTATTTTTCCCTTAAAATTATATTTCTTATAATTACAGGTGAATTTAACTTACTATTTCTTTCCTATCCTTTAGGTTTATTTAATGTAAATTCATCAGCAATGGGATTAATTTTTTAATTCGTTTGTTCTTTTTTAATTAATTCAGGAATATCGACAAGATAGCCAGCATCATCCTATGAAATTTATCCACCCATATTTTACAATAAGATTTTTAATGAAATGAAATAATTATTAAAAATCTAATAATTTTTAAAACTTAAATATTTCTAAAAAAAGATGTAAGAATTAACAAGCATAAGATAAGATGATGATGAAATTAATACTACTTGTTAATCTATACAATTTCCAGTTTTCAAAAGACATTTTGGAAACAACTTAACATTATTTTATATTGGAGGTGAACCATTAATTACAATAGGACCACATTGTAAAATAGTTATAAATAATTAGTTTAGGGCCTTTAACTTTATGTATGATTATTACATTTGGTGGAGCTAGTTATCTATTAATATTTGAAATAGCTATAAGAAAAGGACTTTTTGTATATTACTTTTCTATTTTTATTGCTGCTCTTTAAATGTTTAGCTATTTGATTACTGCTCTTAAAAATCCAGGTATTGTAACTAGTTCTAGAGAATATAAAGGTTTATTATAATGCATAGTATTAAATTATAATATTATAACACCATTAGGTTTGTAATAACTCAAGAGACTTAGGTTCATTATATCATTGTGAAGATTGTGATGTATGTGTATAAGGATTTGATCATCATTGTCCTTGGACAGGAAAATGTATAGGCAGAGGAAATATTAATATGTTTTATGTATTCGTAACTATGATTCCAATATATATTGTATATTTCATTATAGTTTCCTTATTATGATAATATATTTTCAATCAATTTTTTATTTTTTAGATGTCTATTCTTCTTCTAATTCAATAACTTTTCTATTAATGTATTTTTATATTAAAATACCTTTAAATAGCTTTTGATTTTGGACCAAAACCTTCTTAATTTGGATAAAACATCTTGGCAGAACTGAAAACTGGTTTAAAAGTAAAATCTGGTATAAATTATGTTTCAGAATTCAAAATAGTATAAGCTGGTGTATTTTCTTCAATATTCTTTAAGTAATTTTCACCATATTTCATTTTTTTCTTTTATTATATTTTTATATTTTACCCAAGTTTTTATTATATCATAAATTGCTTAATTTGGGGCATTTGTCTTATAAAGATCAACTTAGAGATAACATTAAGCTATTTTAAAACCTAATGATTAAAATCCAGCACTAATATAATATTTTATAAATTTTTACAAAATTTCTTTTTTACTAATATTAGAACATTTTAAATTAGAAGCTTAATAAGTCATATTATAAGAATAAGGATAACAAGAAACTTCAGATTAATTTACAATTCCTGTCAATTTTCCCATAATTTTATCAAAAGTTTAAAAATGAGTATGTTTAGTCTCTAGATTTATTAACATTTTTTTAATAAATTCAATATCATTTATTTAATCTATCCAAACAGGACCGTTAATTTTAAATAAACTTCCACAAACTTCGCATTTTGATGGAATAGGTTTTTTATTGATTTTATATCCTTTATCCTCCTTTTATCCATATGGATAAACATGAAATGATTAACAAGATCCGCATAAAAAAATATTTCCAATTTATGAGAACATTTTATGTGTTTCTACTTTATCTTTAATAACTTAAACAAATATTCTTAGATAAAATTCTCCATAAAATGAAATTAATGGTCTAATTGCTTTACCTAATCTTCCTGCTGTTTAACTAACTGTATATAATAAAGTTCTTAATCCATTTTCAGCAAAACAATTCATTTTAGTTCTAGCTGTACCATATTACTTTTATATTATAAATAATCATACAGCAAAACATTTTTATGTATCTGGACCACATAATACTCGACTATCTGTACATGTAATACATAATAATGAATCATTACAAGAATGAATAGCTGAATCTAAAAAAGGACAAACTGTTCCATATGGATCTAAATCTATTACATCAAATTTAATATCTTCTTTCATTAATTTATTAGCATCCATATTATAAATTTTAACATTTTAAATGTTATTAAGTTTAACATTTTCATCTATTAATGCTAAACTAGCAATAGAAAGATCATTAGCATATATTTCTTTGACATTTTATATTTCTTAAGCAAATCTAACACTTCTTAATCCAGAAGCAGATAAAGCATCTAAAATTGTTAATGGTTAACGATTTTCTGAAAATGTATCAATAGCTAAAACAGTTAAATCACGATTAATAATTTAAGCAGGATTATAGAAGACTTCTTCTTCAATTTACTTTCCATCTTTCTTTTCAATTCTTTTAGTTTATATAAGAGCTTTTCCTTCTTTTATAAATTTTTATCCATCTTTTTCTATAAACATAGACAATTCTTTCATTAATTTCATAAATTAATTTATATTTATTTTATAAAAGAATAAAATGAAATATAAATTAGGATAATAATATATTAAATATTATAATTGATATGATTTATGACTCTTTAATATATCATTTCATTGTAGGCATAGCTGTACTTAAGGTATAACTATCAGAAGGTTCTTTCCATCTAGATGTTATAGTTTTCATTTAAGTGAAAAATCTGATACCAGCTTTACCATAGAAATTAGCATCACCATTAAAGGATCTCTTATTTCCAGTAAATGAAAACATAGGCAAAGGAACTGGAATTGGTAAATTGATACCAATTTATCCAGCTTAAACTTCATTTTAGAATTTTCTAGCAATAGATCCATTTTAAGTGAAGATAGCTGTTCCATTACCCCAAGGATTTCTAATAATTATATATTATTATTTAATTACTAATTAATAATTTCTATAGCTTAATCAAGAGTATCTGCATATAAAATATTAAGAACTGGACCAAAGATTTCTTCTTTATATGATGTCATATTTGTATTCATCTAAATAATATAATAGTATCTTACATTATCAATAATGGTAGGACCAACAAAATAACCTTTTGGATATTTAGGATGTTTAAAAGATGTTCCATCTAAAATTAATTTAGCTCCTTCTTTTTCAGCTGTGCCAACTAAATAATGAATTCTTTCATATAATTCTTTATATGAAACTGGAGCAATGTCAATATTTTCATGACCAGGTCCAACTTTAAAAGATTTAGCTTTAGCAATAAGATCAGGAATCCATTCTCTGCTTTTTCCAACAAAAATTGCTACACTTAAAGCCATACATCTTTAACCAGTTGATCCAAAAGCTGCAGAAGCTAATGCATTTAAACAATCTTCTTTATCAGCATCTGGCATAATAACACCATGATTCTTAGCACCCATATTAATTTAACATCTTTTGAATGTTTTTGATGCATTTTCATAGATATAATCACCAGCTTTATTTCCTCCAACAAATGATACAGCTTTAATATCTGGGTGTTCACATATATGTTTTGTTGTTTCAAAACCACCTTATACAATATTAACAACTCCTTTAGGAACTCCAGATTCTTCTAATAATTTAGTCAAATATGTGACTGCTCCTGGTACTCTTTCACTTGGTTTTAGAATATAAGTATTTCCTGTAACAATAGCAATAGGGAACATCCATAACTATAAAAATAATCTATAAATATACTGGAATCATAGCAGGGAAATTAAATGGACATACTCCTGCGCAAACACCTAAAGGTACTCTATAACTATAAGTATCAACACTCTTAGCCACATTTTCTACTGTTTCACCTTACATTACATGTGTAATTCCACATGCAGCTTCTACTACTTCCAATCCTCTTATAACATCTCCTTTTGCATCTGCTAATGTTTTTCCATGCTCTTCTACTATTATATTAGCAATATCATCAATCTTAGATCTGATTCTTGCTTAATATTCAAACATATATCTAATTATCATTTTTAATCAATTACCTCTATCTTGTTGGTAATGGTACTTAGGACCATGTCTTAAATGCTGATTTTGCTGCATCTACTGCCTCATTAAATTCACTTTATGTTGTTTATTTTGTTATTCCTACTACCTCATCTGTTAAAGGAGATCTTCTTTCTAAAGCTATTCCTCCATTTGATGTTTTCCATACTCCATTTATGTAATTCTAAGCTATATTGCTGAATCTAAAACTCTACTTAAGCACCTTATTGTGGAACATTAATAAATATTTGCGTATTATTTTAAATCTTTTTACTCTTATATTAACTATTAAATATTCAAAATATTTATTATCTTTTTTATCAATCTTATGATTTTTTATTTATTTCAAATCTTTTCATTCATTACTTTCATTCCTATTATCTATTATCTACTAATCCCTTCTATTTATATACACTTAAGAATTCACAAGTTTTATTATATATATTAAGTAATTTATCAAAAAAAGTAATAAATATTAAATGAAATCTCATTTCACTAATGCATTTTCATAAAATAGAGATATTATTAAATGAAGTAGTTCATCTTTATTATTTAAAGTATCAACATAATACTAATTCAAAGATTGTAAATCATTTTAATGTTTCTCTGTAATCTCTTACATTTAATCTTCACTCTTATTATTCATAATTATTGAATTTAATCTTTATATTTATTCATTCTATTTTATTATTTATTTACACAAATCTAAAAAGTTTTGATTCTATTATTCTCTTATATCATGAATTTCCTAATCTTTTTATTATGAATATTACACATAATATCTTAAATGCTAAATTATTACTTATAATTACTTCTAAAATAGTAGATTAATCAAAATACTTTTCTTATTAAGATTAATTAAACTTAGTCATTGAATTCCTTCTTGAATGAGAACTTTATTAAAACATACTTAATTATCTTTCCAATTAAGTTATTTTATTTGATTTCTCTGTTAATTATAATTGTAACTTTGTCACATTTGTCTCATCTGTATATTTCAAAGATTAATTATTATGAGACATAGCATGATCTATTTCAGATTTATTCTAAGATTAAAGGAAATCAAAATATGTTGATTTTGGTGATTGTCCAAATCTTTAATCAACCTCTATTATATAACTATTATTTGAAGAATAAATTCCTTGATGTCTTAAACTCTCAAATGGAAGTTTCCTTTCATATTAATTCATAGATTAATATTCTTCTAATTCAACTTTAAACTTCTCCATTTTCTTTCTAAACTAACTTGCCTCCTTTTCTGTCTCATAAAGTTTTCTCTTTAATTTTGTTAATTCTGATTCATAATATGTTTATTTCAATCCTAACATTCTTTAATGTTCCTCTTTTATTCCTTAAATTTAAGCTTTCAATTTTTCTATTGTTCTCTATTCCTATGGATCTTTCACTATAATCTATTATTATTATTCTGGCTCAATTGATCTTGCTGTTTATGGACAAGATAGTAATTTTGATTTTAGAGTTTAATTCTTTTATTATAATTTTGCTATCTCTTTTTATTGATTCTAAACTAAATAAGTGAAATCTTCAATTATTTATTTGCTATTATCAATTTCTTTTATATAATCCTCAAATTTTTAATAAACTTCTTCCAATTCACAACAATTAACCTTTTATAAAAAGAATGCTTATGATTCATTAAGTTATTGATATAATTCATGTAATTCTGTTATTTTACTTTGATAATCAAAAACTTTATTTTGATATTCTGTTCTCATTAACTCAATTTATTTATTTTGTTGTGCAATTATCATTTCTTTTGTATTCAAATTCTCTTCCAATGATATTATTGTATTTGTTGTTTAATGTTCAAATTACCAAAAATCTTGAAAACTTCCAATTTCTTCTGTTTAATTTTCCAAAAATCCCATAATTTCTTATTATTATTATGGTAACAATTATTGCATCATTTCCACTAATTCTTATGAATTTACTCTAAGCATAGTATCAATAAAGTATGGTATGAATTTCGCAAAATCTAAATTACTATCAGAAAGTGTGATGTCATCATCAAAGTTTATAATTTCAAGTTTACATTTTTTCCTTGCTAATTAAATATTATTTATGATTTAATTCCATAATACTCTTTATATATTCGATCCTAAACTATATATTTTTGATCATATATTTACTAATCATCTAATAATTAAGCAAACACAATTCCATCTTAAAGTTCAGAAATGTTATGTATCTATCTTTTTGACAAATTCCATTTGTTTAGCTATATCAATAGTTTATTATTCTTACAAGTGTTATAGCACTTTTCATTATTAAAATAAATTTTTATTAAATTATTCAAAAATGTAATTATTATAGAATAATACCTTCATTCTGAATCGAATTTTATATATAATCCTATACAATGGCTTATTTAACTCAAATATAAGAGAAAAAGATTGAAAAGTGCAAAGCCCTTTAATTTTATTATTTATGAATAAATATAAAATAATTTAAAAAAATTCAAACTTATTTGAAATATGAAAAAATTATACATTACTAAATTTCTCTTTAAGAACTCAAAACTCAAACAAATATATTATATGAATAAGAATAATAATAAATAATACATATTAATCTAGTTAAAATTAATATAAGAAATGCTTAGAGAAATTAAAGAATTTCTGAAATAATAGACTGATAAGTATTTTAATATATATAATGACTTTAATCAATAATTTTAAGGTGATAATTTAGTTTTTGATATCTCGATTATTTCTTTATTAGTTTTGATTATTTTTTAATTATGCTGACTTGATGATAAATTAGTCTAAATTTAGAAAGATTTTTTGTATAATTAATTTAGACGATTTTCAGAACATGAAAAGTAAGATCCTTCTTGGCTAATGAGATTTTGAATTTGATCAGATTTTTAAATGTCTTATTCTTTTTCAAAATTGTCTGAAAGTTGAGGTTATGAAAATGGCTTATATTATCTTCTAGATAAGGTACTATGTTACTTTTATAACAATTTTAGAACATTTTCATTATCCTTAAGTAAGTAAATTTCATACTTTAGTATTTTGATGAAGGTTTATTCTTGTTTTAAGAATAACACTTTATTTTATCTTACTTTATAATGATTTAATTTCTTTATCATCTACACTGAGTAAATATAATTCCTTTTCTTAATATTAATCATCTGGTTCAATAGAGCTCAAAAATCGTTAAGTTCTATTAGAATAATGACCAGCTTCTTTTGTATAATTTCTTGAATTAAAATACTTTTTTTCAGAATTAAAATTGGTTATTCTGGAATTTCGATTCATTTTAAATTGTACTGCATCTCGACGCTATACTGAAATCTCTTTAATTTTTAGTTATAGAGGATCTACTCTTCTTTATTCTAGATTTTTTGCTAAATGTTTTGGCGATGATTTTGCTTTTGGAGCAAACATACTCATAACCATTTACATCTATAATCTTTAATCAGCTGCTTAATCTTCTTTTTTATTCCTGTATCTCTAAATCATCTTTCTAAATATATGAGCATATTTTGTGATTTTAGATAGATCATTAGCTTGTCTAATCTATTGTCTTCTATCAATAATTGAGTCAATTAACTTAAGTCTATCATGGTAATTATCAAGAGATTCTACAGCATTTTTTATCTATGCTCTTGAAAAAACATCAGATATTTGGTTATATGTATTAGCTAATTTTTTATTCATTATATTGTTTGAGTAGATATAATTTAATCAAGTAATTGATTCTTCAAATAAATATAATTAATAAATAGGAATAGAAATCAAACAAATTTATATTAATCAGTTATCAAAAATATATAAGTCTATACTTTTAAGTATTTTTTAATGTTTTTATAAAGATTTTTAAAAATGATTGTTTTACAAAATGGTTGTTTTTCATTTATTTTTACATGGCTTGTTTATGTAATCATTTGATTAGATAAAAATCAAAATTAAATATATAGTATTATTATCAATAATCAATTATGTTTGTTTTAATTATATTATGTTCAATATACTTAATGCAAAATCAATATTAGTATAAAAAAAGTTTGAAGATCATTATGACGCATTTAAAAGGCCACCTGATTTTATATTTGCTGAAAGACATGGAGTATTATAAACATTGAATTTAGTAAGCTTCTAGATTTGCAGTAGCTGAAAATGAAAAAGTTTAATTATGTGCTTGTTGTGGAATGCCTATCCAAAATCAACAATTATCTTTATGTTGTAATAAAAAGGATATCAATTTCAATGGTGCTGGAATTCCATTATACTTTGAGTTTATATAATTTGCAGCCGTTTTGCTTGTTACTTTAGGGTATTTATGGATATTTTTATAGATTGATATCTGGAATATATAATATTATTACAAATTATTAAGGGAACATTTGTGAACAATATTCTAATACATGCTATTTGAATTTCTATAATAAATACGCTTTATCTAATAAGGCTAAGTAAAAAAATATTTATTATTTAAGTGAATAGGATATTACACTTAATGTCTTAGATTTAATTTCGACTATTGTTATTATTGGATTTACAATTTATTATAGAAGATGGATGAATTTAACTGCAATTGAAGTTGATAACTCAATAGTCACAATATCAGATTATTCTATTTAAGTTAGTAATTTACCTTTAGATGCAACAGAACAAGAAATTCAAGAATTTTTTAGTATAATTGAAAAAAAAGGTGTTGAAAAATAATTAGAAATTAAAAAAATTTGTTTAGGATATAACATAATGCAATACACTAATTTAGTTAATGAAAAATTAACTAAAGAAATATAAATTAGTAATTTGATTGCATTGTATTACTTATTTCTTTATTGTAGGGAATAAAAAGGAAAGTTAAAAGATAAATTATAAAAAGAAGTACTTGAATAAGAAATAGCTGCAATTAATAATGAAATTGATAACTTTCATTAGGTTTTTGATTAAAAGTTTTTATTTAGTGGAGTAGTTTTTATTACATTTAACACAAGCGTATTTATTTGATTATATATTCAGTAAGAAGCATAAGAATGTCGAAAATATCATAATTAAACAAAGATACAGTTATTATTCCATTAGCTATATTATTGTTTTAAAAGAAAGCAATAATTAATAAAATTTAAAGGAAAAACACCATATGTAGTAAGAGCACCTGAACCTGGTGATATAATGTGGGAAAATTTAGGAGAAAAACCTTGGAAATAAATCTCTAATTAAACATGGACAAATTTAGCAACATTTTTAATATTGGGAATTTGTTTTGGAGCAATATTAGGTATTTCTATAGGATAAAATTAATTAAATAAGAGTGAAACAAAAAATACTTATAAATCAGTAGCATTATTAATTACAATTTTGGGTTTAATTGCTTCATTAATTATTTCACTTCTTAATATAATTATGGCATTCACAATAAAGAAATTAGTTTTTTATGAAAGACCTTATACATAAACAGATTTTAATATAAGTTATGCAAATAAATTAGGAATAGTATTTTTTAATTATTTATTTTAGTCTTAATTTATTAATACAGCAATTATACCATTATTAGTTAATCTGGCATTATAAGATGAAGAATTATTAGTAAGTTTATGGAAAAATGGAGGATTTAATTCTGATATAATACTTATTTTAATAATGAATGCTATATTTCCTTGGGTTATTAATCTTTTTGATCCATTTTATATATGGAAATTAATTTAAAGAATAAGAATTAAAAGTTAAGGAACTCGCTGCACATTGACTTAAAGAGAAGCTAATATAATTTTTGAAGGAACTTAAAATGATTTATCTGAGAAATATGCTACTATTGTTAAAGCTTTAATGTTGACTTTCTTTTATGCTTAATTATTGCCTATAGGAATACCTATAGCTTTGGTATTTTTATTAATTACGTATTGGGTGGAGAAATATTTATTATTAAAAAGATAATCAAGAAATGCTCCATTAGGTAAGTAATTAGCAGAAGAAATGATAGATTTATATATTGAATTAACTCTATTACTTTTTGCAGCAGGAAATTGTATTTGGTAGAAAATTGTAGTAGGAGAAATTAATCTTATAGTTTGGATATAATTAGCTGTGGCAGGATTTTAATTTCTTATTCCTATTGATTGGATATTTGAATGGTTTGTTAAGTTTAAAGAAGCAGAAACTAAAGAAACTTATTAATAAAAAAAGGCTTAATTATGGGATGTAATTTATTATTATAAAAATAGGATTATTCAAAACGAAATCCTGTAACTTAATAAAAAAGTATTGAGGAATGGATTAAGGAATAAGGAGGAGAATAAAATTAAAAAGTTTAAGGATTCTTATAAAAGCTAGAAATTAAATATTAACATGATATTACAGAAGCTTAGCATAAATTAATTAAAAAAATTGTACCTTAAGATCTAATTAATGTATTTAATTCAGCATATTAAAAGACACATTATGAAATTAGAAAAAATCAAATTTAACCAAATAATCTAGAAGAACCTTTATTATAAAAATAATAAGGAATGAATACAAAAAAACTATATATTCGCTAATCAGAATCTATAAATATTTAGAAACGAGAGACTGAATTTGTACTCAATAAACCAGATATTAAATAAACTGAATCTTTTACATATGATTGAATAATTCTATATAAATTCAATATCATCATTTTAATCCTTATGAAAATGTAGGGGATGTGTACTTTTTAGATTTTTTTGGTTAACCCATCTAATTTGATTAAGAAGCATACTCTAAAGTCATCATTTAGGCAGGCTAGCTTTATTTCTATAAAGTCTAATTGAATAATTATTAAGATTAAGATTAAGGTGAATCATCAAATATTTTATATTTTCTAATTTGACTAGTACTAGTTCCCATTTTATCAATTGTTTGATCCAATTTTTTTACAGGATATAAATATTATTATAATAAATCCTCTTATGGATCATAAGGTACCTCTGCTAAATGCATTGTTTATACTTATTATACGTTTTGATGTATAACAGAATTTTCTTGTTTCTTATTACTTATTTAAACTTTGTTTTGATTAGAAGGTAGATTTTATTTGAAGAATTCTTATTTATTAGAATTAGAAGGTCTTAAATATTTATCCAACATATTCTCTTAATAATTTACATTTTATTAAGGAGAATGAAATATCTAATCTTATAAAACAGTTTGATATGGACTTAAATAGTTCTATGATTAAACTGATTGTAATTTCTAATCTTAATCAATTTATTATTCTTGTATTCTTGGATCAGGAGAACTAAATCTATTCTAAAATTCATTCTGTCCATTCATCTATAATCTTTTTCCTGTAAAAAATTCATAATTTGAGATCCCACCTTAAACTATTGGTTCAATAAAAGGACTCTTTTCTTAATAATTATTTTCTATTTCTAATTGTTTTGATTGTGGATGATCTATATAAACTTAAGGAATTTCAGGAACAAATAGATTATTTTATTTAAATATTTCTGGTATTTATTATTGATTAGTCTCAATTAATTTATAATCAGGCTATCTATTAATTAATATTGAAAATGGAATTAATGGACAATATTTTATAAATTATTAACAAGAGATGATTACTTCATTGCATCTTATCCTCTTCTTTAAAAATTAAATGTCTTAATTACTAAAAACGTACTCTTAAGATTTCATAAAATTAATTAAGCTTAAATTATATTATAATAAATACTTAAAATTAGGTATTTAATGACTAAAGTCTTAAACTAAAGTACAAAATTTCAAACCAGTTTCCTTATGTTTTTCAAATAAAATCATTCTTATTGGTTCAGCTTAACGAAAGAATGTTATTTCTATTTTTAATAATCGTTAAAATATTTAGAGTAGATCTTTAACAATTTATTAATTGACATTATTATGTATTTGAGTATCTAAACAAGTATCCTAGGGACAAATTAATTAATAAAAATCATCCCAACTAATTTAATTGTTATTGCTTGAGTACAATTAAAATATGTACTCTAATTCTTTTTCATTTATGCTCATCATAAAATTGCTGAATAAAGAATGAGAATTACCTAAATAAATTCTAGATATCGTCCTTATTTATTCCTTAAGGGTTTGTTGCTAATTGATTATAAATTGTTCTAGCTTGAAAATGTGGTGTTATGCTCATATTAATTCTTTACTCTTCTAACTGATATGATTATCTTCTTTTACTTTAGCTTCATAATAACAAGTCATCTTAATTAAAGTAGCTATATCAGAAAGATGTTCTGGTGATAACATTTTATTTTAATAATTTATATTTAGATAACCACCGTCATGTTTTTTTCTTCTTTTTACATCAAACAATTTTGGAAGATAATATAGTCTTTATCTATATACAAATTTGCATAAAATGCTGAATATGAGATTGTAATAAATATTTTTAATTCTTCTTTCTTTTCAGTTATTTAATTTTTAGAATTAGTTTCAGAAAAAAAAACAAATTCTAATATAAAACTATTGAGAAGATATAATATTAATGAATCTTAAAATAAAATGATGATTCTGTATAGGTTTTGATTGGTTTTAAATTAATGATGAAAAGAATCGCTAATTTTATTTAATATATTTAGAAATATATATATGAATCATTAATTTTCTTCTTATTATGGATCACAGACAACAAGGAGTAGATTAAGATCTAATAGTCCTAATTAATTGAAAAATTTAGAGTTTATTATTAAATCAACACAGTAAAAATATAAGTCTTAATAAACAACACCTCTAAAAAGTTCAAAAATTGTTGAGCCTATAAAAACTTAAAATTTCGATATCTTCAGCACTAAATCTGAAATCAGAAAATTAAGAGTGTAAAGTATGCGAAGTCAATCTTAAATTGATAATAAAATATTATGGAATTAAGTATAAGATTAATTGGAAAGAAAATTAGGAACTTGTTCTGAATTTGAAAAATTGAGAAACAATTCAATTTATAGAAAATTGAGAGAAATGAAGCTATAAGAAAATGAAGAGAAAAGATTATTGCAAGAGAGATAAATCTAAAAGGAATTATCAAAAAAGACTAAGTTAATTGGTGAACAGAAATTATAGAAATAAATAGAGACAAAAAGATAAAATAAATTTCAATTATCTACTATTGTTAATGCATTAACATTAATTTAAATACATTCAAAAACATATTCTATGAAATTAGCTAAATTAATAGCAAAAAATTATTTAAATATATTAGATTATAATAATTACATGGAATAGAAAAGATTAAATGATAATTAATCCAGTTAAAATACCCCAAAGACTCCAAATTTAGGAAAAGAGTAAATATTAGAAATTTAAGATTTAGTTAATGGAGGAATACATTAGATAATAATTGAAAATAAAATTAAGAAACATAGAGAATAACTAAAAGCAAGTGAAATATTCTCTGAAGATGTTTTAAGAAGAGTAAGACTCTTGTAAAGTTGTTTTCATTTAAAAGTATTTAGTAAAAAGAGTAAATCTCATAAATACAGAAGATAATAGGTTTATGGTGTTCCTAGTACAAGAGTAAAAGCCTAGACTCGTAGATTAGGTGATATTAAATTTATGAATTAATATTCACCAAAATCAAATAAACCTGGAGCAATGATTAATTTTAATAATGAATTAAAATAACCAAAAAAATCATTAAGACTTTTTAGAAGTTTAACCAAAGGTTCATTGACAACATAAAAAAGCTTATTTTTTAATAGGTAAAATACAAATGAATTCTTATTGAAAGGAGTTTAGATGCTCCATTATCCAATCATTAAATATATATCAATTTTTTACAAAAATATGGTCGTTTGGTCAATCTCTTATAAAGATATAACTTTAGATAAATCTTGCATAGTATTATTTTTTAAAGGAGAAGGAAAATATAAGTATAGATATCGTTTAGATGTACCAATAGGTCAAAATCCTATGATTAATTATAATGAAAATTGTTTAACTGTTTGGCCAACTGTCAGAGATTATTTAATTAGTTATCTTCATATGAAAGGATAATTAGCTTTACTTGATCATAAATAATTACCTACTGCTTAAATTTATAAATTAAATTTTATAAAAGGTTTAACTGATAGATCTAGAATGAAAATTACTAGTTTAGATATTCATGGTATTACTGAGACTAAAAAAATACTTGATTATTTATAAAAATCTCAAATTGTTAAAATTAGAAAAGTATTTGGTACTGTTTATGAATTACTTCCTCAATTCATTGAAGTCAATAAATATGGATAAAAGAAATAATACATAGTAAATTTACCTTTTGTTCACAATATTGTTTTATAACTTAGAATGTTTGAGGAATAACTTTTATTATAAAAAAGAAGTTTAGTGGATGTTGAATAAAATTTAATTGAAAGATATTCATCCTTTCTATATGGAAATACTGATTATATAAATTAGATTTTAAATTTTAGATTTATTCACAATAATCCTGAATTTTTTAAAGATTAAATGTTGAAAGATATACAATTACTTGAGGAGAAATCTATTTATATTTAATCAGCTACATTAAAATTAAGTGATATCTTATAAGTTGAAAGTAATACTGATCATATTTCTTATGGTAGTTATTGTCTATTAAGTATATTTTTAACAATTAATTGTAAAATTAATTTAAAATTATTACTCTTAGATGTTTCTGATAAATCTATGTATAACAATCTATCTGACACTGTTAATTTATTTGAATATATTTGTAAAAAAAGAAATTAATTACAATTAATTTTTAAATAAGAATATTTTCAATTTTAAATTAAAGTAACTTTTCATGAAAGAGATGAAGCAGGTTATAATAGAGAGGTCTATTAAAAAAATTTATTTGCTGAAAAAAAAGATAGATAAATTAATTAATTAATTTTAAGTGTGAATGAGTGGTTAAAATTATGTAAAGCAATTAAAAGCAATAATTAAGTAGAAGATTCTGAATAATTTTTTGATTTTAATAAATTAGTAAAATCTATTTTGTTAGAATAACAATTTTACTCTAGAATAGCTGAAGAAACTTTAAAGTCTGTCTTTTGCATAAGCTTAAAAAATGAATAAGTTATGTTAAAAGCTTCATATAAACATATTTTATCTGTTTCATATAATTTTATTGAACAATTAGATCATTACAATTTTTCAAAGAATCTTGGATATGTACATAAATATAGTATATATCCAACAGAATACCATGATATTAAATAAATTAAATAAGAATAAAAAAAATTAACATTTACTTCAAAAGATGCTAAATAATTTAATAAATAATTTAAATAAATAAATACAGCTGAAATCAAATTAACAAATACTAATACCAAAATTTCACTTATTGTTGATTACTAATATGAATATCACATTTCTTAGAGTATGCCTATTGATTGTAATTAACTTTAATTAATAAGTTATAGTTCCTTTAAAAGAAATTATTTAACTTATTATATTGTAACTAATCGAGAGAGCACAAAAATTATAATATAAAAATTATTTAAATCTCCTATTATAATTAAAATTGAAGATCCAGATTTGATCTTTTAAATTTTAAATTGTCAAAATCTAACATCTAAATAACTTTCATAAGAATTACTTGGATGCATACATTAAATTTAAAAGAAGAATAGCTTTTTGACAAATAATATGCAATTTTTTATTTAAAACAATAAACACCCATTACCTAGTTATAAATAAATAAAATTTATGCTGATTAACGATTCCAATAAATTATTAAATTATTTAGATAGATTGAGCTTTATGTTTTTATTTAAATAAAACTTTAGTGGATCTTAAATTTTAGTAAATGCTAAAATTTATTTTATTTGTAAAGATTTTCATACAAGATTTGATGAAAAGATCTTTTATTTTCATTCTGAAGATTTATTTTTAGGATTAGAAATCCAAGAATTTAAGTCAAAGCTAAAAAAATATATTATTATTCTAAATAAATTTGATTTAGAAAAGCTTTTTGATATTAAAGGGTATTTAGATATATCAACCGTACATTTTTGGTGTAAAACAATTATAAATAATTTATCTTTTGATAAATAAAATATATATAGATTACCATATTTGTAAAATTTGAATCATTACATAATTCCAAAACTTGATGATGAAGAAGAATCTCATAGATTAAAGGCTTAAAGAAGTATGACTAATGATTATAAGAATGATGAATAAAACACAGTTTGTAAATAATTTCTTTAACCTTAAATTAAATTATTCAGAGTAATAGGTCATTATGTTATGAAATATTTTCTTATGAAGTCATCAAAAAAATTTAAACTAACAACTCGTTTACAATAATAATATCATAATGAATATGAATCTATTAGTATTGAATTTGTTGTCATTACTATATAAGCTCATAATATTTTTGATATGTTTAGAATAATATATTATTTTCCTAAAAGCAAAAGAAGATTAATGACTCATATTTCAATATTGCAATTTTAAGAAATGGATTTTAGAGATAACTTAATTTTTGATTTACTTGATTTCAATGAATATAAAAATTATTAGGATATTGAAATCTATGTAAAATCATAGAAAAGTGGAATACATTTCAAACATTCTATTTAATTAGATAAATAAGTTTTAACAAGAATTAAATTTATGAAGTAATCAGTAGATATTTAAAATCCTTTTTAATTTGCTTTTAAAAAAAGCACAAATAATTTTCTAAAGGTTAGTGATGATTTAATTACCAAAAATAGATACTTATTATCATAAATCAAATAAAATTAATAGCTTTCGGATAAAGTTATTAAGTTTATGTTATTTACTCGAAAATTGAATAAAGATTTACAATTTGAATTGTAGAATAAATTAATAGAAATCAAGATTTGGGAACTTTTGCTTAATTAAGTATTTGAGTTAAAATTTAACAATTTTAAATCAATAAATAATTATATCCATTTAATAGATAGAATTATCTAGACTTTTGATTAAAAGAAACGAAATTAAGTTAAAATAATTGGCAAAGAATATTTGTTGAAAAAATAATCTAGTGGTTCTTTAAAAAATAATTATACTGTTTAGTCTAATGTGACTTAACTATACACTAGACTAATACTCACACATAATATCAAAGTTACAGAAAAATTTAATTTTCCTGACACTGATATTAATTTAAATATTGGATTTTTATAATATCCATTATTAGAATTCATATGTAGTTAAGAAATTAAATTAGAAAGATTAGGAAATGCTTATTTAGAATGTTTCATTGAACAAATCAAGAAGACATAATAAAATTAACAAGTTTTTAATCCTCAATAATTAATATCATATTCATAATCATCAGATTATAATATCTATTTGAGATACTATTGTTTATAAAATTTAAAATACAAAGATATCAGATTAAATATGAGAGAATTATTGAACTTATTTATAGCTGATGGATTTTTCAAAAGTAAAACTAATTATATGAATAGTAGATTAAGCTAATCAGACATATAGAATATGTGTTATTATTTAGTATAAAAAATACGAGACCAAAACTACTTAAACTTGTCTTCACTTGTTTTACTAAAAAAAGAAAGAAAGTTTTCTTTGGCATCGTAGATTTTATTAGAAACACAAGATTCGTTGATTCCTAATTAAAATAATTCGACTTTGCTTTTCGATGAAGGCTATCTTTATACAAAAGCAATAAAAGGAAATAAATGTTTTGATATTCTTTAATTGTAGATCTTTCCTTCAACAAAAAAAATTATTGTTAATTTGAGTGATAGTAAAGCTGTATTATTTTAACAAAAAATTTATACCTTTTAGGAAGCTGATTAATTAGCAACTCATTTTCTTATTCTATTCAAATCTAAATATGTACAATAGGCTTTATAACGTCTTGCATAAGCTTTAGAGTACAAATTAATTCAATTACAAAAAGTATGAAAATATTTTATAGTACAAATATATGAAGCATTTTTTCTAACAAATTATTAAACATATAATTTTTGTATCAAAACAAGCATGGATTTCTTAAAATATATAGACTGTCTAATTTGATGAAAGCTGTATTTCTAATTTATTTTTTTTTTATTTTCTTAAATATTATTATTATTATTAAGAAAAAATTTAATAATAAATTTATGGAACCTAGATTTTAGAAAAGTCTAAAGAAGGAGTAACCATATTTTGGAAGAAAATTATTCCAGATACAAATGTCAAATTACTTTTATGTAAGGAAAGAGTTATTGCCTTAATAATATTTACAAGAAACATTTTTTTTAGTTGTATCTAATGCAGCATTACTAACTTGGTACTTTAGTAAATCAATTTCAAAAGTTATTTGTATTTTTCATTAATGATATAGTGGCTACTTGTTATGCTTCATTTACTGTAATGGCATATGGTTAACATATTGAATTCAATAAATCCTTAAAATTTGATTTACCACAATCTATATTTACACGATTATTGTATAGAGAAAAGTTTAATGAAAAGTAATTTGATTATCTAAACTAAAACTTTGTAAAAAGATTTTAATTATCAGAATGATGTATTTAAACTGATTTTTATAATATAAGAGATTGAAATAATTAATAATAATTATTAAACCTATCTCAAATTTATAATTTTATGTATAAATTTATTAAGGATTTGAGTTTCAATTTTTGAAATTTTTTAATACATTTTTTGAATAAATTTAATATTATTAAGACATACTCAATTATTGGGTTCTCTTTATTTGATCAAATAAAGGATTTGTTATTTTTAGATTAATCTGTTTTTTTTTACCATCTTATAATAAATTAATTTTGACAAAAAAATTTAATATAATTATTTTCTGATAAAATAGAATAATAGGAATACATAAATCTTGATCAAAATAAAAATATCATTTATTTTCACAATATATTTATGGGAAACAAACAAGTTATGGTAAATTTTGATTCTCCATTTGTTTTCTTACAAGATTTAGAGGATTAATTATAGAATAAAGGAAGTTAAAATCATCCATCTTTAGGATCTATCAGATTGTGGTAATTTAAAAAAGACCCTTAATTGTAGTTATTTTCTTTTGTATATACATATTTTTATGTTACAGGTTCTCTCAACTTCAAAATTGGATTCCAAAATGATATAAGTTCATTTATTTAGATGTAAGATATAACATCCAAATTTATTTAAATATTATGCCTGTCTAAATGATTCTATAATAGGTGGTGTTGAAAAGTAACAATATTTTTTTGAATATCATCCAAAGACATTGAACTAATAAACCATACTTGCTCCATTAAAGGAAGAAAATATCTGGGATGTATTAAATATTTATAAATATATGTGAAGATTGTTGAACAAATTATAGATGTCATGGAATATCTACAAAAATTAAATTTATTTCTCGGGAATCTATCAACTGAAGCTATTTTGATAGACAATAAATAAAAAGTCAAACTTTTAGATAATTTAGGCTAATAGCGCTTAAATAAGTTTTCATTTTAAGAAGATATAATTTAATTAGGATTAATAATTCTTGAAATGATGACCCAAAGAAGTAAATTTTACTAATTATTTATGATTAGCAAGTTAATTAAACTTTAGTAAGGCTTTAAAAAAATTGATTGGTTAATATAGTTTATAATTACTTTAATTCACAAGCAAATTATTATAAACAAATGCAGAAACAAGAATAGATTTTATTGAATTAAAATAAATAATCAAAAATAGAATTAAAATTCCAATTACAAATAAATAAGCTCAGATTATATAAACTGAATAAGAATACTCAAAATGCTCTATTGAACTAATTGTCGAATAATAAGAAATTGAAATAATAAAATAAAAATAACTTTAACAGTAAAATCAAATATAGAAAATCAACACTTTACAATAAAGCCAAAACAAATAAATGTAGAAAATCAGTTTATCATAAATACCTAATTAAATTTTTTTCCCCAAAAATAATTCTAAAAAAAAAGATAAAATAAAAAACCAATTAAATAAGGAAAAGATCATAGATTTATTTTAATAAATTCACAAAATTGAAGATTTCTAAGAATAGATTTAAGCATAGAAACAGAATCTTAATTCCTCAATTAATTCTAGTCGCAGTACATAATTATTATTTTCACCAAGTCAGAGAATATCAACCAGTCCCAATTCTTCTATCTAATCACCTAGTAATAAATTTTCTAAGGTAATTATTATTTATTACATTATTAGAAGCAAACACGTTCTTCCAATAATATACATAATATATGAAATTTGTTTAATACAATTTAAAAATTAATGCAAGCATTATAAAAGTAACCTCTTCATCTATTATTGGGGTTTCAGCAACCAAAACACAAAAATGTTATCCCTATTATTAATATGGTTATAAATGAATTATAATCCTCAAAAACATAGTATTTAACTATCTATGATTAATTTGGAATTTTAGAATAGAAATAATACAAAGTTGGACAATTAAATATAAAGAGTGAGAATCAAAAAATATTTGATGACAAATTGTATGATTTCTATTAATCCTAAAAATAACTGGAAGATTACTTTTTTACAAAATAATTTCCTTAATAATATTACATTCCTTAAGCAATAATTTTTTCTAAAAAATGTGTTTTACTTGGATTACCTTTTGAATATTTGAAAGGAGGGGAAATTCAATTTTGTGACATAGACTAATTTGACTCAAATAAACTATATGAGTAAATTTTATTATTTATGAGGAGGATATATCTAAAATATGCATAAATAGAACAAAGAGAAGGAAAATGATTAATTATATGTTAACAGAGTACTTATTGAGAATTGCATTCAATAAATTAAATTTAAAAATTCAAATTAATGTCATCAATGTGTTCTATTTCTTCACACTTTTTAATTTGATCCTACACTTCTATTTCTAACTTATTGAGAAACACTAGGACATGGACGAGCAAATGTTCCGTTTGAATTAGGTCTCCAAGGTTTTTCATATGTTTAAGTAGCACTTAATTTTTAGAATGTATTTTATTTAGTTTTAGGTATTGGCGCACCTTCTTCCATATATTATAACACTTCAAAAGTTCCTTAAAATCCTTTTTTATTTTAATTAGCTGGTCTAAATGGAGCCCCTTTATAAAGTGGTCTTTTTATTTCTTAATTAAATGAATAAAATATTTACCAGATGAATATCCAGCTCCATCAAGTAATATTCCATCAGCAGTAAAAGGACGATAACCATGACTAGTCGTAATAAATCTAGTTGTTCCTGGTAAAAATTTGCTTCTATGTTTAATCCTTTCTTATCTATCTAATTCTTCTTATCTATCATATGGATCAGGTATATATTCAATTTGTCCAAATACATTATGAATTGTTGTTCTTCCTAATCCTTTCTTCGCAGGATTTGTTTAAAAATTTCTTGCTTAAGTTCTAACATCCCCAGTTGGAGTTCTTGTATTAAATACTTTATCATTAAATTCTTTCATATGTTCAAATTCAGAATGTTTACTTTGATTATTGAAATTATTTACACAGATTTAACATGATCATTTGGTTTAAAACAATTAGGGTTTTTAATGGCTAATTCTCTTTCTTTATCATAAATTTATTTTGCTTTAAATTAATCTTTGTATGGATCATTTAATGTTGTGTAACCAGGTTCTAAAAATAATGCTGGTTCATGTTTTTTTTATAATTTTTTATTGACTAATACACCTTTTTCTTTACCTTAGCCTAGAGATAAATAAGTATTTGATTACTTTTTAATGCGTCGTTATATTAATCTCCTAATAATAATGGAGGAGGTTAATTAAACAATCCATGACGCTCTCTTTTTATTATAAAAACAAAGATACCTTTAAGAAATGTTTTCTAAGTCTCTGATATAATTATCGTTAGATGGTATTCTATACTAAGTTGACATATATTTTATATTAATTATTTTTATAATGTAATTAAATATATAAATTCATTTAGAGTAAGAAGTTAATTTGAAAGAGATGATACAAAATTAGAGATTAGATAAATTTTAATATATAAATAAATAAAAAAGAGAATAAAGATTATTATAATAATAAATATTGAATAAAATAAATAGGGATATTATTATAATGTACTATATATAAATGAAATCATGCCTTCTTCTTTAATTTAGCAGCTTATTTAGTGGCAATATCTATTTTTTTTAAAGCATTAGCTCTTCTTTATTTAGCATTTAATCTCTTGGCTCTGAATTTAGTATGATCTCTCTTTGGATTTTATTTAGCAGCTCTCTTAACTCTATCTGAACTCTTTCTAATTTCATCATGAATCTTCTTGAATAATTCTTAAACTGATTTAACTCCAGCCTATATAAATATAATTTAATAAATATACAGTTTTCAAAGTTTATTCCCAATTATGGAATTAGACATCAAATTTAGATCTTCCATCTTTATTAGTCTTCTTTTCCTTTTATAAAAGAGCCATATATTTATCAACATGAACACCAAAGATTCTTTCTTTATGAACATTAGCATCATATTTTTCTTTTTTATCATTATCAACAACGAATCCTGGGAATCTTCTGTTATTGTGTGGAATGTGAATACCACCATCAGCTGCACCTTTTAAGGCAGCAAATACTCTATTTCCAAGTGTTGATCTAACCAAACCAATATCAAGAACAGCAAAGAATGGTCTTCTTTCTGGATTCTCTTTATCAGCTACATCATACAATGTTCCATCTATTGTTTTATTACCTTCATAGAATTTATCCATCTTTAATGATTTAAGTGTTCTTCTGGCTAATAATAAACCTGTGGCATATGCAGCAGCATAATTTGTTAAACCACTTGTCAAACCAAATCTCTTCAATTCAGTTGATTCAGCAGCTGCTACTACCTTATCACCCTTTAATGTAGCATAAATGACTTAACAAATGATCTTTGTGTTTGTATGTCTAACTACAAATCTGTATTTTGGTGAATTATATTTATCCTTATCTTAAGTTATCATTCTGCTTCTTGCATAGTAATCTGTCTTTCCTTCTCTTCGTCTTCTGAATTTTGTTTAGAATCTTTTGAAGTATGGTGTTCCTTTAACAAGCTTAACAAATGCCATTAATTATTAAAAAGATTTGAATTTTTCATAAATTAAACACAAATACTTATATATATAAATTATCAAATATTATTCTGATTTAAATATTATGCTCTTTTATATATCATTAATTATTAACTACCTCCATAATTGGAAAACTTATATATGAAGATTGATTAGACCTTTATAAAAACCTTAGTTCTTAGTTGTTAAATGATTATAAAGTTTAGAAGAGGGTAGAGGGAAGAAAACTTTAAAAATAAAAACTTGGGAGTATTTTATACTAAAATTTTATGAAAAAAACCAAACGATAAAAATAAATAAATGAAATAAATTGATAAATACACAGAAATTTAGGGATTATTAATAATTCTAAAAAATTCCCTTTTGTTAACTTTATATTTATATAAATATATACCTATGAATACCTACTATAAAGCCTTTGAAAGTTTTTCATATCAAATAAAAACAAAATATCTAAATTACTTTTAATAAAAATTTATACAGAATTGCTTAATATTAAATATAAAAATTGATTTTAAAGGAACATCTATCTCTTTATTTTGATATTAAATCATTTTATCTTCAAGCAGAAATATTAATACATTAAAATAAATGAATACTTATTTAGATATTTGAGTTTTTAACACTGATAATCTGAAAATTTCTAAAAGACTAAAATTATAATTTTATTATTTCTTAATACTCTGAGCATACACAACAAATAAAAAATTTAAATTTCACACTTAATTATTATTTATCCATATAATTTTTTTTTTTAAATACAGCATTCCTTTCCTTTTTTAAATTTAATTTAAATTTAATAACCTAGATTTTGAGTAAGTTTTACTTTAGTTCTTTAAAAATTATTAACCTATATTATCACATTAAAACTATGTTTTATGAATAAATGAAATGTTTTATCTTAGATTGATATATTATTTTTTCTAATTTAGCATATAATTAATTCAAATTAATTTTTTTCAGTTAATAAATTTTCATGATTAAAGTGGAAAGCGATGTGACTCCAAATTTTTAACCTTAAAAAAGCATTTTAAAGTAGATGGAAGAGACTATGTAAATTATACAAAGACCTAAACCTCTTTAAGCTCCTTTAATTTAATAAGAGGAATTTTCATAATAATCAATGTTACTAAAAGAAATTGATTTTTTTTGTTAAAAGTTAACTACTGTAAAAAAAACAAAACCTAAAATTGATGATGTATCTACTAAATAATTCACATGTTCAACACCAGAAATTTATAAATTATAAATGTTAAATGAACCAGATGATGATAATGAAGAATAATAACATTAAGTTAAATTTGCAGATGAATAATAGAAAGATTAAGAAAAAATTAGAACGATTCCTAATGAATCTATGTTTTAAAAAAGAACAGGTATTGTGAAATAAATATAACCAAAATTAATAATAAAAAAATTAGAATTTGAATTAGAAAATCCACCTACTTGGATTCCAGTGAAAATTGAAAAATAATTAGAATTAGAGTTGAAATTGAATTTAAATATATGCATATTTTGGCCTGAGGAAGAATTAGCTAATTTAAGAACATAAAATATTAATATCTTATCTTTAATAGAGAGTATGAAAAATATAAATTATTTTAATCACTCAATAAAATAAAAGAATAATACTAATTTTCAAGAATTTACAATTCTAAGCATTTAACTCTTATAATAATTAAAAATCTATAGTATTACATTATGTTTGAATTATATTCATCCTATTAGAGAACTTTGTATAAGATTAAATGACATAAAAAAAGAATTATTGAGTGAAGCTCTTTATGAAAGAAAGAAAAGTATGTTATTATTAGAGTAAAAACGAATAATCAAAAAAATGTTCTTAAGATATTTATTTTTAAGAGTTAAATACAAAGGGGCAATAAATAAAATAATAAATGATGTTCAATAGATAAGGCGAATGATTAACTAAAAAAAATATTTCTAAAAGCTATACATATATTCTTAAAGGAATAAATAAAAAAATGAATTTTATGAATTGGTTAGCGATCATATGAGAGTAAGAACATTAAATACAATATTTCAAAATTGGAGGATTTTACAATAATGTTTAGTTCGATAAAGAAATGGTACAAAATTGATAAAATAAATTATAATTAAATAATCTTTAGGATAATGGAAATAGATAACTAAATAGATCATTTAATAATAAGCAATCTAATTATAATTAGAGAGAGAATAAAGACAAAATATATAAAATATTTAAAATGCTGAAAATTTAAAAGAGGATAAGGATGATGATGATAATTAAGTATTATCATAATTTTTAACAGATGAAAAACCTAAACATATATATGATGGGCCTAATTGTCTAAATGATTTATATACAATTTATGAAAGAGAAACTTAGGCAAAGAAAATTAAAGTCATAATCTTTGAACTTAAAGAAGACTTAAAATTATGTCCAAATTTGATGTAAAAAGTATTTATTAAATGGAAAGTAGCATTTCTATAAAGACATAGATAAAAAGAATTTATATAAATTATGCAATTAAAAAAAATGTAAAAGATTTTTTAATTTTGGAGAAGTGATAAAGAATATCATCCATTTTATCAGTTTATATTAAAAAGGAAAGGACTTGAGGGATTTAGATATAATTAATTAACAAATAAATAATAAAAGCTATAAGAATAATTAAAGATAATAACTTTAAAATAATAAAGGCAATAAATAGAAGATATGGCAATAGAAGTTTACAATAAAAATGTTCAGAAAAAAGCATTTTTTGCATGGAAACATTTAGTGAATAATGATAATTTACAAATATTATGGAAATCTCTTTCAGATTAAAAATTGAAGCAAGATTTTGAAATAGTGTAACTTAAATATGATATTATTTAAAAGAAAAGAAAAATTAAATATTTTAAAAAATGGGTTGTAAATTTTATAAAAAGTAGAAGATCTATAAAAAATCTATAACAATGTGAAGTGACTGCAAAAGAAAAAGCAATTGAAAGTTTAATAAGAATTGCATTCGAAACATCAATGAAAACATAGTTTAAATGGCTAGAATACTATAAAGATAATTGATTTTTAATTTTATAATTTTTAACCAAATTTTTCTGGAATTAAGAGAACTTTAAATATTTAAAATAATGATTTATATAAAATAAAAGATTTTTAATTATTTTAAATTATGATTTATATAAAATAAAAATAATTTGTATTTTCATAAATGTAGTTAAAACTATTCTAGACTGGCTAAAATTTATAAACGTTCCTTTTCATTAAGTTCATCTGCAATTCTTTTCTTAAATCTAATGATAGATTTTTCAACTGAATATTCCATCATTTTTTCTTTCAAAATATTTTTAGTTGAATGTCCATCCTTTTTTTAAATAGGAATAGAAATCTCTTCATTGATTGATTACTATATAAATAAAATAAATTTACATTTCTTGAAAATGATACATCTTCAATATCTTTTATAATTTTTTATTCATCATCTTTTTCTTTTTAATTAAGTTCAATAACTCTCATAGCTATTTCTTAAGTTTATCTTCTTTTTTCAGGATTATAGAGATCTCTTTCATCTCTAGTACTTAAATCTTATGCTTAAAATTCTTTAGATATGACTTTTCTTCTTAATTCTAAATTTTTATCATCTTTCATGTGTAAATAAATAAGTTTGCATCTATCAACATATAAAGGTTCTAATTTTGTTTTGTATTATGTATTAAATTTTATATGAGTGTAAACTTCAATATCTAAAGCTAAATTCTTAATATATTAAAACAAAGTATTATCAGTATAATTTATAATCTCTCTTTCTAATTAAGTAATAGATGAAGGATCTTTTTCATACATAATTTTTAATTCTTCTATACCATAAAAAATAACAGAAAAGAATTTTTCTCTTACTTCTTATCTTTTCTTTTCGAAATTAGAAACATTAGATTCCATTTATCTATATCTCTCAACCCAACTTTTCATTTTTTCAACAGCTTAAGGTGATATGTTCTTAAAAGGTTAAGATTATTATTTTTATTATTCTTGAGGATTATTTTATGAAATATTAATTTCATTTATTTAATTCTTATCTTTTGAATTTCCATTAGTATTTTAATTGACAATTTAAACTTTTATGTCTTATTTAACAATTTAAACTTTGGATTAAATTGGTCCATCTTTAGTTTTTATTTTTTTAACTATTTTTTCTAAATCAATTCTTCTTTCATTTCTATCTATTTATTCTTCTTCTTCTTCTTCTTCAATCAAAATAGATCTTTATTATTCATATGTTTTTTATTGATTAGTTTAAATAACAATTGTAGATGGTCTAACTTATAATGCATCCCTTATACGATCTGTAATTTAATTATTAGATAGTATTTCTCTACATGAATCACAATTAGCATTTCCTTAATCAATTTGTTTAATTAAACATTCAGCATGAAATGGCTTTTCACATGAAGTACATAACACTAGTATCTAATCTGGGTTTACATATTAACCACAAAAACACTATTTTAATAGAGGCATCAAATCTTTGGATATAAACTATTATCTCATCACATATCCTTTTTTTTCAGTCATTTGAATATACTCTGGAAGTTTACTTAGTTAGACTTTTTCAATTATATCAGACATTTTTCCTTTCTTTAATTAATCTGTCTTAAACACTTCATACAATCCATGATGTTGTTGCTTACCTAATAAAAATTAATAAAAAAGAAAAACACAATAATAAGGATTATTTGAAAATGTGTGTTGTGTAATAATTATATACAATTAAATATACAATAAATAAACCAACCTGTTGGTAATTCTTCACTTAAAATGTATTCGAAATATTCGAACCAATCTTCTTCTCGACTGAAGTTCTCTATTTTTCCTATGCCAAAGGTATTACCCTTTTTAAATTTGACGAAATCAGAAAAATTATAGTTTTCACTCATTAAATTATTTTTATTAATGACTTCATAATTAGAATGTATTTGATTTGAAAACAAATAAATGTGTGATAATTTATAAATCCTCATAATTAATATAATCATTTTCCAACTTATTTTAATCCTTCTTAATAATACATAATGTTTACTCTCTCCTTTTATCAACTATAAAATACTTATTACGAAATATCCCTGGCTTTAGTAGTCTAAGATTACTAATTATTTCTAAAATTTGATAATGAATATGCTAGAGCTTTCTTTTAAATATATTTATATATAAATTACAGAAGTTTCACAATCAAATTCTCCATATAGTAATTTATCTTTCATTCTTAAATGAGTTTAATCACTATAAGCTTCCTTTACTTCACTTTTATATCTTAAATCTACTGATAAATTAGATCTATTTTTCAACAATCATTATTATTTTTTACTCTTTATGATGTACTAGATAAAAGAGTGATTTTCCCATAAGTTTTTCCCAATCGATTTTCAGATCTTATACCAGGCCCAGCATAATATGTACATATAGTTATTAAATATGATTTCTATTCTCTTATATTTATATTAAATCTTAATCAAAACCCTATGTAGGCATAAAACTATATTTAAAAAATATCATTCACAGTCCATCCTGGAATAGAATTAGCATTTTTCTACTTAAAACATTTTTAAAGAATTATTTATAATTAAAATTTTCATGAACTAAAAACTGAAAAACTTCAAAACATCAAATTTTTTTTATTTAAAATATTTTTGTTTTAAAAATAATTAAGATTAATATGATAATATTTGGTAGGACTATTTTTATAATTTCTTTTTAAATTTAAATAGTTTCAATCAAATCATTCTTCTCTTCAATTCACTTTATGTCAATTAATAGGATTTTAAGAATTTTTTTTCATAATCTCTTTTTTTATTTTAGAATCTTCATGTTATTGTTATTCTTCTCCATTTATCTTTAAATTCATAGAAAAAATCTTAAATCAAAAAATAATGTGATTAAAAGAATAGTTATGGTTAAAAATAACCAATATAACTCAAAATGTATCTTTTTAAATTTTATGATTATCAATATTATTGACAATTACAGGTTTATGGTTCAATTGAAATAGTTGCTATGATAATCTGGAGACAACTTGATTATCTAAAGTATCGTTATCTCTTGAATATAATCTTAAAGTAATTAAATTTATAACAACTATTTAAAAAATGTTTAATAATAGATGTTTTGTCAATTACTTATTCATTTTAATCATTAATATATGCACTCATAAAATTTATACTATGTCTATTCCTTGTAGAATTCCTATGGTTAATTTTAGAATAAATTAATCTAGTGTTTCTTTTTCTTTGCCCTGCACTTTGAATGAGATATCATATGCTATAATAAAATATATATACATTAATAAAATAATAAGTAAATTATTCCAAAATAATTTTTATGTAATATAATATTATTAAGGTTAGCATATCATTATATAAATCAAATCTGTATCTACTTAATAGCTTTGTTCATATCTTTCTATACTTTTAGATTGGTGATTATGACAAACTAAGTAAACTACTAGATTTCAAAATAATTCTATACTTCAAGTTATAAATTTGTCATATTGTAGTAAATTTCTAATTAAATTGATGGTTTACTCGTAAAAATCTACTTAAATTTTAATAAAACAGCTATTTGCATTAAATAAAAATTAGCTACTAATTCTATTGATATAATTTCTATTCTGAAAGACAAGAATTAACATGACTATCATTTTATCAATTAATTTCCAACATTTCTTTGTTACTCTATCAGAATCTTATCTAAATTGCTGGAAATAATATAATGATAAAATTATTATTTTTCTTCAATTTCTTATATTAGTTAAAATTGTTCTGGATTCTTCAATTTATTTATTTATATTTTACGATGATGTAATGACGAATTATTTGTCAAGTGAAGGTTTAGTTCTTGATTGAGAAGACTAGTTCTAAGTGTTAACTTCCTATGATCTTCGTTCATTAATTTAATTAAAATAAATGGCAGAAGACCTTAATCATTTTGCTAAATATCAAACCTTTTCTTCATATTCAACAATATTTAACGAAATGGATGCTCAATCCTAAACTTAAGCTTTAAGAAGAAATCCATTAGAATATTATACAAAGAGAGGCTTAGATCCACCAAAAACAATCTATGGAGATCCAGCTAAAATTCTTGATCACTAAGATCCTTAAAAATAAGATTAAACTAAAGAAGTTAATATTGTTGGATCGGTTCATCACTTTGCAAGTGAAATAAATCGCTTATGTTAGGAAGTTGGCAAAATAATATAAAAACCTTAAGCTATCAAAGATCAGTTGAATCATAAAAAGAAAAAATCTTAAGATAAACTGCATAATCATCCTTCCAGTGATATGTAAATTTAATCACTCTAATAAATTAACTCTTTCAATGATTTTAATTCATAAATTCAACAATAGAATCAATAACTACAATTATAAGATTAATTATATGATTAATAACATATTAGAGGGAATTAATCAATCAGACCTAATGGTTTAAAACAAAATCTATAATTATCATTATCACCATAAAATTAATAAATAGATTCGTTATAACAATAAGTATAGAATTCATAACATAGAGATGAATAATCATTCCATGCTTAAAAAAAAACAGTATAATAATTATATTAAAGAAATCATAAATCTGGTATTCTAATTTATCATATTTCTTTTAGTATTTTCTGTAGAGGAATAGTCAAGAAAAATAAAAAACAATCAAAAACCTTATGTGAGTTCTCTTACTGAATTAGCACAACATTAGGATGAAGAAATATAAAAGGCTATTAAAATATTATAGGGAGGATAAAAGAAACCTTGAAAATGATTATGTAACTTTTTTAAATAAAATAAAAATTTTAACTAAATTAGGTTTATATAATTCATTATTTATATGCAAATTGTACTAATTCTTAAAATTTGTCTTCCCTTAATTCTGAAAAAATTTATTAAACATTCTCATAATTCTTAGCTAACAATAACTTAGGTTTATATTTATTTAAAAAACCAACACACAAAATAATTAATATTTCTAAACTATCATGTCCAATGATTTAATCATAAATGGTTAAAATATGTGGAGGATCCATATCTCCAATAAAACAATAAACTAATTAATGCATAATCAATTTTAATGTATCAGATCCAATTACCTTTAAATGATGAAATAATTTTGGAGATCGTGTGCTAACAATTTCTTCTATCTACATGCATAAAGCTAAAATTGAGTTATTCTCTGAAGAAATAGAATGCAAAAAGCAAAAATATCTACAAAAGAACTCTTTAAATAATGCATAAATTATGTGTATTTTTGTAGAGAGATAGCATATTGGTGCAACATATTTAGATATGTTTTTAAAAGGAAAGAAACCTGCAACAGGTAATTGAAATTCTGTATTTTCTTTTTTTAATCCACTTTATAATTAAATCTAAAAATATATTATTAATTTTATTACTCTTATATTTTCTTTTATTGTTTTATCTCTAATGAAACATTTTAAACATGTAAGAATTTACTCTTAAAATACAAAATAAAATGTATCTTCAGAAATCTCATGTCCATCTATTTCAAGTAATTCATCATAAAATAGTTAATTTGAACATTCTTTTTATAATTTTGCAAAGTTTTACTATATAACAGTTTCTTAATGATCAAATTCAAAATATTTTAAGTAAAGAAGACATCTTTCTCCATTAGGTACAAAATTTTATGCTATTTTTTCTAATTCAATATCTAAATGTTCATTTTCAATTTACTTTCTAATCTTATTAATTTTATCATCTTGTAATTCTTCTTAGAGTAATAAATATTAATATTTATCTAAGATAGATTATGATGATTTTAAAGGTATATTAATATTCAAAAGTTTATTAGATTAAAATTGTACATTTTAGTATAGAGAGTTAGATTATTATTATTTAAAAGTTTATAAAAATGCCAAAAGGTTTTTTTCATCATAAATGTACAATTTAGAATCGGTATTAGTATCATCTTCTTCTTAATTTTTTGTTTTTTGATGAACAATATCTAAATTTTTAAATAATAATTCTGTCCATTTGATTTTGGATGTATTTAGAAATTCAATTTAATCTTCCTTTAGAGTTTCTCTTTTTTTAGATTTTTTAAGAATATGAGATATTAATTTAATTAACTAGTCTTCAATTTCACAACTTTAAGCAAATTTTTGAATATCATTAACTCCAATTTTAAGTTACTCATTGAAACCTTATTTAATCTAGATAGATTATTAAATACTTTCTTTTTAATATCCCAGAATTATTTAGAAGCTTTAAGCTTCATTAATATTTCTTGATTGTCAAGTTATTACATGAAAAAATTAAATGATAAAAAATAATTGATTTTTTAACATATAAATTCGAATAATAGAATGAATGTGGGATGTTTTGTAAATTTTGAATAATTCATATTTATCAAATTTCTTCTCCAGCTGATTATCTTAAAGCCAATTATTCTCTTAAGGTTCTTAATTCCTTATTGACTAATCCGATAGTTTATGAAACAACATCTCTATCTGAGGTTCTAGCAGATCTAGCATCTTAATAATCTTAAACAGCTTCTTCACATTAGGTGAATCTATCATGTCTATCAGCTGAAACATTTTCAATTCTTTATTCAGTAGTTTCAAGTGAGGCTTCAACTTAAGCAATAATATCATTCAAAGAAGCTAAATCAGAAATAGCATTAGCAAGAGCAGATCCTGCAACATTCAAAGCAATAACTACAAAGTTTCTTGATTTCTTATAAGCTTCAACTCTCTTATCTTCAGCAAATCTTAATAAAGATAATGAATCAGCAATTTTAGCTAATAATTCATCAGCTAAATTTATGATTTTTTAGACAGCTCCAGCATCAGCTAATTATTCAACTTTTGAAGCAATTGTTGCAAATGCTTTGAATAATTTGCTATATCCCTTTCTATGTTAGAATTTAGCTGTCTTCTTGGCTGATGTAGTGAAATGCTTTTAGATCATGCTAGCAACTTCCTTAGTGAATTTATGAGCTTATTTTGTTGTCTTTCCTTTTTAGACAAAAGATTCATGTTCAATGTTATCAGCAAAGAGTCTTCTTGCTTCAGCAATGATTGCTGTTGCTTCTTAATGTTCTAAGACTTTTTCTTCAAAATCTTCATGTTCTTCAGCTCTTTATGCATCAAGTTCATTTAAATCTTATTAATATCCTTTGACTTCAGCTGTCTTTTAAGCTACTAATCCTTCTAAGATGGATCTTTATGGATATAATTATCCTTCTAATCTTGCTTCAAGTTCAATCTTCTTTCTGTTTGATTCAGCTAAATCTTTATCGAAAGCAGAGATATCCTTAAAATTTAAATTAATATTCATACAACTGTGCATGCACCTTAGTACTCTTAATTTTTAGCATCATCTTCTTTCTATTCAGCTACATATCTATCTTCTAAGTCTGTTAATGTTGATAATAATCTATCTAATGGATCTCCTGTTTAGAGTTCTAACCAAATTGTATCAAACAATGTTCTTCCAAATGGTGATTAGTCGATCTTTTTAATTGTAGCTACAACATCAGCTTATGTTGATGAAGCTAACACAATAAGTGCTAATGCTAAAATCATTGTCTTCATTAATAATATTAATTAAATAAATCATTCAATATCTCCATTTGAACCTTAGAACTGAGTAAATATATTCGTTTTTAGCATATATTTCGTTTTTATAAAAAATACTCAATTTTATTAAATTTTTATTAATTTCTAATATCACATATTAAATTTTTTTAAAATGATATAAAAAATGTGAATTAACGAAAAGAATTATTCTGCAACTGATACATTTTATAATATTGATTAATCATTCAACATTTAATCACTTTTTTTTATAAATCTCTATTATTGAAAAATAATGAAATGATTATTTCTTCATTATAAATTATTCCCTTTAATACTCAATTAATCAATCTTTACAGTTTAAACTTCATGTAATCTTTAGATATTTTCTAATTTCATATTCTTTGAATAGAATAGACAAACATTTTATTTATTTAATTATTCATAATTACAAAATATAATATTTATTTAATATTATCAATTTTTTACATATTTATGTGAAAAAGAGATTTTGCTTTGTTTAATATATTTTTATTAATTTAAAAAATAATATAAATCATTAGATAAATAGAAATCAAGATCTTTGAGTAGATTAAGGAATCATGTTTTTCTACTCTAAATTTGAAACAATTACTTATATAATCTATGAAATTATATATAAAAATTCTAATAAATACACATCATTAAAATTAATAATCTAGAATTTTCGAATGTAATACTTACTAACACTTCTTTTTTTTTCTTTAGTCCTAGGATAATAAGTGCCAGAGGAGAATGGAGTTTTAATATTGAACGATTAAAATTTCGAATATGTTTTGAAGAAATACGAATTTGTATTAGTGGATTTCTATGCACATTGGTGTGGACATTGGTATAAATGATAAATAAATATAGCCATCATTTAGCTCCAGTATTTGCTTCTGCTGCAAGATAAGTTAGGAATCAAAATGTTTAATTTGCAAAAGTAATTAACATTGTAAAATTTAAGATCAATTGTCCATAATATGAACATTTATGTAGAAGATTTTAAGTAAATGGGTTCCCAACATTAAAATTATTTGGAGATGGTTAACTAATGATGGAATATCAAGGAGATAGAACAGAAAAAGCAATTGTTGATTGGATGAGAAAAAAAACAAGTAATCATAAATTTAATTGTATACTTTTTTAGATAAAGGTTCTGTAGAAGCCAAATCATTAGATTAATTAAAGAAAATATCAGAATCTCCTAATTTAGTTATGGTGTTCTTTGGAGAATAAAAAGAATCATATGAATTTATGTAATATTTTTAATTCTCACAGTAATTACTAATATTTTATTTTTCAGAAAGAATAAACATATTCCAGCTATGCATACATTTAATTAAAATTATGCTAATGAAATGAGAGTTTAAGTACCAAGCATTGTTATTTATAAACCATATGATGAAAGAAAAGCTTCCATAACAGATAATTTTGAAATTTCTTATATAGAATAATTTATAAAAAAACATTCATATCCAGTTTTAATGAACTTTGACATTTAAGTAAGAATTAATAAATAAAATTATTAGACAGCTAAAAGAATATTTAAAGGAGATTAACCAACACTTTTCTTATTATAAAATTCATATACAAATCAAGCTGAGAAGTAGTTAAGATTAGCCTTATCAAAAATTAAAGATTAGATTCTTATTTGCATTGCTAATACAGATAATAAATATGGTGTGAGATTGATGTAATATTTTGGAATTTAAAATGGTAAATTTAATGTTTATCATATAGATTATCTTCCATAAATTGTGGCATTTAATCCAATATCTGAATCATTTAATTTGTTGAGTGAAATTACAAAAGATGGAATCATAAATTTTACACAATCATTCCTAGGACTTCATTAGAATCCATAAAAACAAGACTTATGAAATATTAATTTATTATGTATTTAATATGTGTCGATAATTATTTTAATATATCTGAATTGATAAATTAGTTATTGAAATTTCACAAATTACTTTTGATCGTAAGGCTTGCTTATAAGATACATCACTGTTAATATAATTTAATTTATTTGAATTGGTAAAATAAGTATAAAAGATTTAACTTACCTATTTAGATTTAATTAATAAATTTAATTAAAATGGGTGCTTGCTAAATCAAATCTAAACTAAAATCAGAATAATAAAAAAGACTTGAAATTAGAAAGAAATTAAACTTTAGCAAAACAATAATAAGTGCCACTGTCAAGAACTATACTTTTGAAAGTTAATAAACAGTTAAAACAGAGCAAACAGTATAGAAAGAGCAAGTCTGTAGTGTGTAAAACTCTACTCAAAATTTTAATAAAGTCTACACTGTCTTAAATTAATACAAACCTATTAAAGGTATTTGTTTTAAAATATTTTATTCAGTAGGAGATGATTAGATATTAACAATTTAACATAACATCAATGGACAAGTGAGGCATGCGAGATTGATTGAAAGATCGAGAGAGAACAATTCCTGGATAGAAAATTTCTTAAAATAAAATTTTGTACCATTAATTTATTAATATAGAATCATCCGAATATTATTAAAGTTTATGAATATTTTTCTTCAGATAAAGATTATCATATAATAACTTAAGAATAGATTTTAGGCATTCCATTATGCGATTACATCAAACCAAGCGAATAGATTAAAGAAGTTTTAGCTGCTTAGCTAATTCTTTAAATATTATAGGCTATATAATATTTACATTAAAATAACATTATACATGGAAGAATATCTTAAAATTCATTCTTTTTCGCTTAAGAAAATAATTTTACTAAATTAAAGTTAATTGACTATAAAGAAATTTATTTGAAACCAGAACTTAATCTTAATTCAATAATGTTCATACCTCCAGAATTATTAACTATGATTCAAGATGAAAAGTTTTCAAAAGAAGGTGATATTTGGGCTTGTGGAATATTAAGTTATCTGATATTGAATAGTGCATCCCCTTATTCTAAATGCAAAACTATATAAAGCATGCAAAATTAGATAATGAGAGGAGCTATAATATATGAATCTACAAACTTCGATAGAATTTCTAATTTAGCAAAAAATTTTCTAAAAAAAATGTTAGCAAGATTATTAACTCAACGCCCTACAATTTCCATAGCTATTAATGATTAATGGATTAGTTAAAATATAATACCAAAGAAAATTAATTGTAAAGATACTTTAAATAAATTTTCTTAATTTAAATAAGTTAATAAGCTTTAGTTTCATATCATGATTTATATGATTAATGTATTTTTTAGTTAAGCTTTCTCATAATTAATTAATACATTTAATGAATTTGATACGAACAAGGATGGAAGAGTTAATATTGAGGAAATGATGATTGCTTATAAAGCTTTAGGGAGAGCAGAAGAAGCAAAAAAAGAAATTAAACAAATTTTTGAAAAAATAGACACTGATGGAAGCGGTGATATTGATTTTTATGAATTCTTAATAGCAATCACAGATCGTTAAGCTCTTTTAACAATCTAAAATCTATAATTAACCTTTTAGACTTTCAACGTTAGCAGAAATGGAAGACTTACTGAATAAGAATTATCTTAGGCATTATAAATTCCTATTGAAATTATTTAAGAAAACCTTTCTAATTAAAATCTTTAAAAAAATGGAAAAGTAAATAATGCAATTATTTTTAGATTACTTTAGATTTAAAATCATTTAAGGAGTTTATGTTGGAATTATTATGATTTGAAACTTTTTTATTAAATAGAATCTTTTTAATCACAAATCTTTTATATATCTTTATAATTTTTATTATCTTAATAAAATTTTCAATTTGTTGTTTGTTTTCGAATAATTATATTATTATTTAAATGAATTCAAATGAATAGTATTAGATTAACTATAAAAAAGCTATATCCTTTAAAGACTCTTTAAAAAAGAAAATTAATTAAACAAAAAAGTAGAGTTGAGGATAAAAACTTAAGAAAATAATCTAAATACTATTAAATAAAGTTTTAATTTATTGGGATCTAAGAATCTAGAAAGTGAATAAATGGTACTATATTAAATTTGAAAATTAATGAACAAAAAGAGAGCATTTTAAAAATTACACATAAATCAATTCAAAGTTTAAAAGAAGTTAATATAAGAAATCTTGATATTCATAGATCCATTCATTGATGATATTATAATTAACCATAATTTTGCACACTCTATTAGACATATTAAAAACTTAATTAGGATAGTCTTATAAAACCAACTATTTTAGAATACATTTAAAAAGAAATTAGTATAATCTTCTTTTGTATTAAGAACATATAAACTTACCAGAAATCTATGAAATCTACAGTGATCCAAAAAGTTAATATTCAATTGGAGATTTTTATAAGTTATCATCTTATTTTATAGAAAATGGGTAAGCTTCAAAATAAAAGGTATTTAAATTCTGTTTCAAATGCTAATTCTTTTTGATTATA